GCGACGTTCTTCGTCATTCCTCGACGTTCCGCGCGCTCGGAACGCGCGATCGCGGCGTAACAACGACGCGCGCGCGTGTCGACACCAATCGCCACTTCCGAGAAAAGTCGACACATCGATCGTCAGACGCCGACGCGCCGACGCGATGCTCGTCGCGACGCGCCGACGCGCGGAAATCGTGAACAGAATCTCGAGTATTCTCTCGCGCACGAGGTCTTGAGAGCGACTATTTCATCCTTGAGTTGGAAAGTCTTGGATTTGAGGGCGTCGAGGCGGGTGCGAAGGGTGGCGTGACGGTCGCGCTCGGAGTCGCACGCGCGCTCGAGCTCGAGCTCGCGCTCGGATGGGTCGGCGATGGCGTCGACGACGCGGGCGATTCTCAGGGCGTCCAGGACGCCTAAATCGACGTTTACCTTGGATTTGATCGCGTTCATCTCTCGAGCGATCGTCTTGGCGTCGAGAGTGAGCGCCTTGAGTTCATCGCTCTTCGCCTCGAGCTCTGGAGCAACTCGAGAGACGTCTCGACAGAATAGCCGAAATGCAGCCTCATCCGTGGTTCTCTTGGGTTGCGTTGTCGATGTTTGATCGGGGGTGCTCGCGACGACAGCGCACGCAACATCGTCCACTGTGATTTGCGTTCGATCGTTCTCTCGCGGTCCCGCTCGCTCGGCGCTTCGGCACATGTCCCGTAACATTTCCTGTACTACGCGGATTTTCGCCAAGCTCGAGCCGCAGTCGAGGACGTAATCGTCTTCGTCGATATACTTGCGTACGCTCGCGCGCAGCGTCTCCACGGTCTCCGCGCTCAACTTGAGCTCCAACGCCGCGTCCTCATTAGAGTCTGAGTTACGCAACAAGGCGAGCTCCACACGCAAGCGTTTGTTTTCCTCCTTAAGACGCGCGATGAGCATCTCCACGTCTAACTCCTCGTTGATGAAGACTTCATTCGAAATCTTTCGAACGCGTTGAGCGAATCTGCATGTGCTCACGCTCTCATCGAAGGCGCCCGCGTCGGCGCTCGCTGTGGCGATCATCACCGTCTGACAATTCCCACCAAGACTGTCCCGTAAGAGCATCGTCATTAGGCTGTTTCGATACGGGACGTGAATCGACTCGTCCCCGGTCTCACTGCGCTCCTGCAGCGCGACGATGACTTGCTCTAGAAAGTGTAAGGAAACGTTGATGTATTTCGCCTCTTGTAGCGTCGTTCCATCCACCATGCTCTTGTGTACGCGCTCACTTCCTGCCAAGTCTACCAAGTTCAGTTTCGCTCTTCGAAGCGTGTCGGCCACGCGCGAGCGACGAGTGATTATCACTGTGAATATGCAGTGTGATCGACTCGACGCCATATTGAGCGGTGTCTCCGCCACCGCGCGATTCGTGTCGCCGATAAACAGCAAATCGAGCGCCTCCGCCTCGCTTGTAACGACGTGCGTCGACAGATCTATCACGTGCATGCATCCTTGCTCGTCCTCCATGAGACGAATTTTCGGTAACGGAATCTCCGAGGCGCGTGCATAACCTCTAGCCGCGCTCTGTCGCTCGTCAAGCGTCGTCGCGAGCAAATCGTATCCCTGCTCCATGTAAATCTCCACGTAACTGACTTCGACGGTAAACTTCGCATCCTCTTCGGTCCCAATCTTCTCAATCGTACGAAAGATCATCGAGAGCGCTCTCGGCACGATTCCTCTATCTTCGTAAGTCGTCGTTCCTCCCGTCAGCGTGTACGTTTTCCCGCTCCCCGTCTGTCCGTACGCGAAGAGCGTCGCGTTGTACCCGAGCGTCGCCGCCTCCACCACCTCTCTCCCCACCTCCTCGAACACAGAGCTCTGACTCGCGCTCTCGTCGAAGACACCGTCGAAGGCGAACCTATGCTTCGCGTCCACCCCTCGCTGCGTCGCGCTCCTGCGCGTTGCCCGTTCGAGACACTCCACCACGCGAAACGCTGATTCATCTTCCTCGCCGACCGCGTTCTTCTCGTCTTCGTCGAGCGCGCGTATGGATGATCCACTCGCGCGCTCGCGCGTCGGACGCAAGCGCAGATACGTTCGCACGCGCGCGCGGTGTTCACTCGGAATGCTCGTGGACGGCTCGCTCATCGGTTTCGCGTCAGAGTGACGGTTCTCGTTCCAGTCAAACCTTTTTTACCAGAGAGAGAGATTCAACACTCCGCGCGCGCGCGCGTCGCGCGTCGCGCTCGAGACGAGCTCACAAATCATTCACGTCGCGCGTGATGTGCGTTTCGACGAATACACGCGTTCGATGGTTCGATGGACTCGCGCGGTCGCGTTCGACGACGCGTCGTAGTGCACACATACGATATTTACACAAAGCGATCCCACAAATCCTCCCACGTCCTAATCCTCCTTCGCCAGCTCTTCCTTGTACGGATTTTCCTTCGGATGTTCGATCACCTCGATCTCGTGCTCGAACTCCCACGGCTTCCACTCCCGCATCTTCGGTATGAGCGCCAACTCATCCTTCGCGATCTCGTACAGCTCCTCGATCTGTCCCTCCCCGATCGCCCGCTCAACCTCCTCCACGCTCGCCCCCCCCCGCGCGCGCTTCAACCGTTCCGTGTACATCTCCTCCACCACCCGTCGATACCCCGCGTCGCTCGGAATCCCGGTCGCGACTTCCTTTAACACTCGCTCGCAGATCGATTCGTACGCCGCCTTGCCCTCGTCCAGGACATCCAATCCCACGATTCCCGTCGTTTGCTTCCGCGCGTCGCGCGCCGAGGACGAGACCGCGCGCGCGCGCGTCGCGAGCGCGCGCGCGAGCGACCGCGCGCGCATGACCGAGGTGTGCCGGCCGTCGCCCGATGGCGACGCGCGATCGGTCGATGGGGTCAGGGTGTCCTCTGTGTGTTGAGTCATGACTCGTGCGTGTGTACGTGTATGAGTCATGACTCAATGAACATGGGACTCCGTGACCACGCATTCGAAATCCCGCGACGCCATCGCGCGACGCCGCGGCGACGCCTTCGCGCGACGCCATGCGCGGTGGCGACGACGCGGACGACGACGCGCTCGACGACGCGCTCGATGACGCGGAGACGGTGGTGATGTCGCAGGCGGAGGTGAAACGAGCGAACATTCGAGCCATGGTGGAGGGGACGTTGGTCGTCTCCGTGGGCGCGTTCGCCGATGGTTTGCTCGTGCGCGATCCGCGCGTGGTGCTGAAACGGGCGTTTAAGTCACCGTTCCCGAACGCGCCGGATCGAAGCGGTGCGTGGAGATGAAACGGGGGAGGCGATGGGAACGACGGAACGGGGGGGACGCGAAATGTCGGCACCGCGCGGACGAGACGCGCGCGAAGAGCGACGACGATGGCGACGACGCGCGTGACTGACGCTCGGTGGTGATTCGTGTGCGCAGCTGAGTTAGTGCGGAGGTTGGCGGCGCGTCGGGTGTTCGTGCCGTGGGGGTCAAAGGCGAGCGACGTCGCGGCGGCGATGCCGAAACCGACGACGACGCTCGAGGAGCACATCGAGCTTCCAGAGGGGATTGAGGATTTGACCCTATGGGTGCCGGGAGAGGGCGAGCGAGGAGAGAGCGGGGAGGCGGTGGCGGCGACGACGACGACGCATCCGAACGCGAAACCGATCGTTGTTGATCGGATGCTCACGAGATGGTTGCGGCCGCACCAACGCGAGGGGGTTCAATTCATGTTCGAGTGCGTGATGGGTTTGCGCGATTTCGACGGTACTGGGTGCATCTTGGCGGACGATATGGGTCTCGGTAAGACGTTGCAGGGAATCACACTTCTTTGGACGCTGCTCAAGCAGGGTTTCGACGGCGCGCCCGCCGTGAAGCGCGCGCTAATCGTGTGCCCGACGTCGCTGGTGTCAAACTGGGACGACGAGTGCAACAAGTGGCTGAAAGGTCGCGTGAAGACGCTTCCCATCTGCGACTCCACGCGCGCCGAGGTGGTGAGCTCGATCAAAATGTTTCTAGCTCCAAGGCACGTCGCGCAGGTCATGATTGTTAGCTACGAGACTTTCAGAATTCACTCGGAACGTTTCAACTTTGACGGAGCCGTGGATTTGATAATGTGTGACGAGGCGCATCGTCTGAAAAATGGCGAAACGCTCACGAACAAAGCGTTGTGTGCCGTCCCGTGTCTGCGGCGAGTGATGTTGAGCGGGACGCCGATGCAAAATCATTTGGATGAATTTTACGCCATGGTGAGCTTCTGTAACCCAGGATTGTTGGGCACCCCGTCAGAGTTTTCGAAAAAGTACGAGCGACCAATCTTAGCCGGTCGCGAGCCCTATGCGACGGAGAAGGAGCTCGAGAGGGCACAAATGGCGAATACCGATTTATCTGAGCTGGTGAACAAATTCATCCTGCGCCGTACGAACACCATTCTCAGTAAGCACTTGCCACCGAAAGTGGTCGAGGTGGTCTGCTGCAAGCTCTCGCCGCTTCAGCAAGCGCTGTACGAACACTTTCTCACCTCCAAGGCGGCGACACAGGCTCTGACTGGGAAAGCGACGGCAGTTTTACCCGCCATCAACGCTCTGAAAAAGCTAGTCAACCATCCGAAACTGATTTTCGACATGATCAACGGCGCAAAGAACACGGGCTCGGCGGCGGCGAACGGGTTCAATACGTGCGCTGAATTCTTCGAACCGGGCATGTACGGCGGTGGCACAAGTCGTCGCGGTGGTGGCCGTATGTGTCCTGGTTGGGAGGAGCATAGTGGAAAGTTCGCCGTCCTCGCTCGGCTTTTGGCCAACTTGCGATCGGAGACGAAGGATCGCATCGTCATCATTTCCAACTACACCCAGACGCTGGATTTGATCGCTCAAATGTGCATAGAAAGACATTATCCATTTGTTCGTCTCGATGGAGGCACGACGATCGGTAAGCGACAGAAGCTCGTCAAGGAGTTTAACGATCCGACGAGCAATTCTTTCGTGTTTCTTCTCTCTTCCAAGGCGGGCGGCTGCGGCATCAACCTCATCGGTGGTAATCGACTCGTGTTGTTTGATCCCGACTGGAATCCGGCGAACGACAAACAAGCCGCCGCGCGATGCTGGAGAGACGGTCAAAAGAAGAAATGTTATCTCTACCGTTTCTTAGCGGCCGGTACAATCGAAGAAAAAGTGTTCCAGCGCCAGTTATCAAAGGAAAGTTTGCAGAACGTCGTCAACGGCTCTGGCGAACTTGAACAAGCTGTCATGTCGACGGATGAGCTTAGAAAGCTCTTCTCTCTGGACTGCACGACGTGTTCAGACACGCACGATACGTGCGGGTGCAAGCGCTGCCCCAAGAGGGAAGGCAACGATCTGATGCTCGATGAAGACGAGGAATACAAATTTTGGGAAGAGCAAATTGATGAGGCGGATGAGCAAAAGCTCGACGAGTGGGCGCATCACCATCGCATTGACAAGGTTCCGGACGACATTTTAAAGAAGTCCGCGGGAGATGACGTCTCGTTCGTGTTCTCGCTCAAGGTTGAGGGATGTGCGATCGCGGAAAAAGAACAGCCACCCACGGCAAAACCAGAAGAGTCAAAGTCAAAGTCACCTTTGAAGACCACCGCGACAGATTCGCTTCGTTCTGCGGTGTCGATGAATCGACCGTCTACGTTTGTACCACCTTCACGACGTCCACTCGCGCCAAGAGTCGCGCCACAGGCAACCGTGACAGCGTATCACAAGCCGACGATGATGGCCGCAAAGCCGTTACCAAAGTTGCCCGCGCGAAACGCCACGAAGCCCGCCGCAAAACTTGGACGTAAGAAGAAGGTCGAGAGCGAATCCGAGTTGGATGATCAATCAGAGGACGAGGAGTCCGAAGAAGAAGAATCTGAGGAGGACGAGTCTGCAGAAGACGAACCTGCCGACACCGAAGAGGAAGACGAGGCGGTGCCCGATTCTGAAGACGAAGACGTGGGCGACACTTCGGTGGGAAAGACCGCGGCGAGTAAACGTCCGGGTGGGTCCGGTCGCGAGAGCATGACTCGGTCGAAAGCACCACGGATGTCTTCATTTAGTGCCTCGTTAAGTGGCTGCATCGGCATCGTTCCTCCTTCGCCCAGCGATGAGTCCGAGGGATACTAATTCGACGCTCGGCGCACGAATGGGTTGATAGTTTTACTCTAACAGTAGCCTTTCATTTCAAAACCAGAATCTCAGTACCCCATTTGCGCCTCCGCCGCGTCCGCGAGCACTGGAAGCCGGACGTACTTGCCCGTCATGCACCCCACTGCGGCAAGAGCGAAGGCACCGAGCGTGACGACAAAGATGGCGTTGTGCATGAGCATGGTCAGAACCGGGGGCAATCCGATTCCCAAAATCCCCGGTCCAAACAGCGTCTCGACGAGTGAGGGAAAGATCAACGCGATATCGAGCAAGATGGCCTGCATCCCGTTGAATCGGCAAAATCGCGACAAATTTTGGTTCTTCGCCACGCCGAGGTAAACGCTAAAGAACAAAATCAAGTTGCCCATCGGCAACGTCGATACCATTCGCAGAATGGGCATGAGCGGCTTCAACAACACGATCGCCGCCGGGAACTGATTGAAGAAGAACCGACTGTACCGAAGCGCGCTAAGAAGCGGCAAGATGTACGGCACCAAAGCGACCACTCGATCGGGTACCGGCACTATGTTGAACCCGCCGCGCCCGTACCCACCGCTCTGCGCGAGCGTCTTGATCATCGCTCTGCGCTCGCACTTTGAGCGTTCGGCGCGCGCGAAAGAAATCGTCGCCGTCGAAGACGTCTCCTTCGACTGCGCGCGCACGATGCATCGCGCGCGCACGAAAGCTTGCGTCGGTCGAGCTCGAGTCGAGAGGTCATCAACCGTCCTTCTTCTCGCGGCGCGCTTTTGGACGACCACGCGAACGGGCGCGCTCGAGAGGGCGAACATGACGCGTGGACGCGTTCTCGCGCGCCAGAGTGCTCGCGATCGAGCGCGACGACGCCGCGAGCGACCGCGCGAGAATGAAGTCGAATTGAAACTGAAGTTCGGTCAGAGCACACAGGGTTGCTAGTTTTTCAACGCTTCAACTTGATATCATTACATAAAAGTCCTGTCCCTCAGTGGAATGGTTTCATGCAACTCAACACGCGAGTACATTCAGCGGTTTGTCGTGGACCGCTTTGCTTGGATCTTGGAAGAGCAGAGCGCTAGTCTTCGAGGTGGTGGGCGTCGCGCGCGATGGCTGCATCGATTTCGCTGTTCGTGAGGTCTTCCTTGGTGCATCCGGTGCGTCCGACAATGCTGCACTCCCACTGAGGGTCGGAGACGGGGATACCGTCCTTCATCGTCACACGCTTGCAGCCGAACTCGATTTGTGCACCCAGGCTGTTGGGCTTACCGTCCTTGGACTTGTACAAGCCGAAGCACTGGAACCAGTCGTCGGTGTCGAGTTTACCAAACGTTCTGTTCTCGATGCCGTGGCCGACGAGAATGATGTGCGCGCACTGGCCGCATCCAGCCTTAGAGGCGACAGCACCAGCTGGGCCCTTGCCGGACAGGCTCATGGCGATATCGACGCACTCCTGGATCTCATCGCTCGGCCAGTTATCAGAAAACGCGTGCGCCGAGCGAGTGGGACCCTTCGCGTTCTTAGCCGAAGTTGTCATCGTCCACGTCGCCGTGGAACCGACGGTGTTGGGATCGGTGACGAAATGCTTCGGGAAAGCCTGGCAGAACTGCGCGTAGTCGGTCTTGGCCAAGATCTCGTCCGCCTTCCAACCAATTTCACCGAGCGACTCGTGGAACACGCCGCGAGGGCGAACTTGGATCTTGAACGTATGCGAACCCGGCTTGAGTGTCTTTATCGCTTGCGAGAATTTGGTCAACAAAGCGTGACAGAAGTCCGAGGACAAGTCGGTCGAGGCCTCATGCGCGTCCTTGGCGATCAGAGGGAAGTGCGCGTGGTTTGTCTTGAGAGCTTTACCGGCTGCGATGGTGGCCCACGGCTTGCTCTTGTCGGACGGGCCAGACGTGAGCGACTCCTTTAGCAACTTATTGATGTCGTCATCGTAAATACTGAGATCATCGAACGCCTTGATCGCCTGAGCCTTGGAATTCGAGCCGTCGCCGATGCAAATGTGACCGTCCTCAAACTTCTTCCCGTCGATTTCGAGGAACAAGTCGATGAGATGGACCGCCGGCATGAGCGGAACGGTGATCTGCTTCACGTCCGGCTTCATCATCGAGTACGCACCGGAGTGGTAGACACCGACCGGCGTCTGTTGCAGATCCGGTGCGAAGCCGACGATGAGCGAAAACGCATCCGTCGCGTCGATCGTCGCCCCGTCCAGCGGCTCCGCGACGGACAACCCAAGCTCATCCGTGCAGTATCGAATCTCCATCGGCTTCGCCGACGACAGCCCGAACAACCGATCGATCTTCATCTCGTTCGATTCATTATGCTTGATGAACGACTTCACAAACGTCTCCGGCGTCTCCGTCGACGCCGAACCATCGACGATGCCGAATCGTCGCCCGTCGTCGAGCCACTTCGTGGAATCCGTCGAGTACATCGCGTACGGTCCCTCCGTCTCCGCCGACGGCGCCGGGAGCGCCCCCCCGACGACGGACATGCACGGTCCCATGTTCACCGCCGCCCCGTTCCCGTGCGCGCGCGCGCTGGACGTCGACGCGATTTGACGTCCGGACGACGATTCGGCGATCCGATCGGGCCCGACATCGCGACGGGGCGGGACGGAATCCACGCGCGCGCGTCGGATTTTCACCCGGTCACCGCGCGCGCACGGCGATGGGTGTGCTCGAATACGAGACGCCGTCACCGTTACCGTCGCCACGCGGTCGGTCGCCACGCGGTCGGTCGCCACGCGGTCGGTCGCCATGCGGTCGGTCGCCCCCGTCGACGTCATCGGAAAGATTATCTGCGCTCGTCGGGACGGCGACGACGTCTCGGCGCGACACACGTCGTCGAACGAGAACATGCACGCGTGTAGAGTCGCGACGTCGTTGAAGGTGTCGGCGCGCCCGAGCGTGCAGGCGAAGCGCGCGCGCGCGGTGCTCGCGCGGGCGGAGAATGAACAGATGAATCAAGAAATGTCGGGCGGTGAGATCGGCCTGGGGGGTCTCGAGGACATGATGGACAAGGCGGACGGCGGCGCCGCGCCGGATTTCGTGAAGGAGCTCGGGATTAAAGAACTCGACGACGTGTTCGCCATCTTGGGCTCGCAAACCAAGGGCGCCGAGCTCGGGCAGCTCGTGTTGACTGAAAAGTTTGGCGAGACGCTCTACCGCGAGAGCGGCTTCACGGCGACGGCTGAGATGATCAACGGACGATGTGCGGTAGGTTTGATCGACGACGCGCGCGAAGAGTATTTGTATCCGTCGCGTGAATCGATTTGAGAGCGATGGAGGCGACGGTATCGGTCGGGTTCGTCGAAAGATTAATTCCAGCCGCCAGCGCTGGAAAGTGGAAGAGGGGGGTAAGAAACTGACGGGTTTTGTTTTCGCTCGACACAGATGGTCGGTTTCGTGTTCGCCGTGCTCAACACGTTCAACGGTGACTTGCTCACGATGATCGCCAAGGTCCCGATCGTCGTCGCCATCGTCCTCGCGACCATCTCCGCGGCTTCCGTCGTGCCGAAGGTTAACCCGACGGGCTACTTCCCGGACTCCGTCAACTCCGCCGCCATGAACGCGTACTCCGGCGCCAAGTTGGACGAAGTTTTCACTTACAAGGCCGAAATGGTTAACGGTCGCATGGCCATGCTCGCGATGGCCTTCTTCCTCGTCACCGCATCCATCTTTTAAACCCGCAGACGAGCGATAAATTCATACAACGACAATGACGCGTACCGCTGCGCTTTTTGGAAGAAATGACGACTCCGTCGACTTTGTAACCGATCCAGACGCATCAGACGCAAGATACGTACACTCATAGTCTCATGGTCTCGATGTATCGAGCGAGCGCGCGATGAAGATTCAAAATTCTAAACCGATTGGTACTACAACGGCGAGTTCGGCATGCTAGTCCCTTAGTCTGCTCGCAAGGCCATCTCCTCCTTGCGCACGCCTTCGGCATTCATGATCCAAAGCTCCACACTATCACCGGTGTAAATGTCCCGCTCGGCCGCCGTGGCGAAGCAATCCTTGATGAGGTCGATGGCCTCTTGCTCGCTCAGCGGCGTCGCGCTCGACGCCGCGGGCAACACGAGCGGCGACACCGTCTTCAGCTGATTATCCAAAACCGGCATGATGAGCGCCTGTCCCGATCCCTGGCACGAGTAATTCGTGCGCTCGTACGACCCCACGGCATCGTACGTGAACACCGCACCCTTCCCCTCCGCGTCTAAACCGGCGACGATGTTGAACGCGTAATACGGAAAGAACCGACGATAATACAGCGTATTGCTCAGCATCTGCGCGAACGCCACGCACCCGATCTCTCTCTTATTCTGAAACTCATACTGCTTACACCGCGCCTTGAGCGTCTTCTTCAGCGTCACCGCGTCCGCGGCGAACCCCGCGCTCGCCATCAACGTCTTGCCCGACATTTTATCGATCTTCTCAAACTTCCTCGTCAGAATGTTATACCCGCTCGACATACGCGTGTCACCGGCGCATATCACGTAGCTCTCTCCCGCGACCGCGAGCACGGTCCCACCGTTATTATCCTGCGCGCGCGTCGTCGTCGTCGTCGTCGTCGTCGTCGTCAATCACCACTCGATGCGTCATCTCGATCCATCCTCTCGCACTGCCCACGCGATCGCGCGCGTCACCGCGTCGAGCACCGCCGCGGCGCACGCACGTATGGCGACCAATTCGCGTGTTGCCTCGCCCCCGCGAGCGCGTCCTCGCGCGCGTCGAACATGCTCGACGACGGCGCGCGCGTCGAGATCTGTCGTCAACGTCTGACTGTTCGCCCACACGATTGTGTGACTCGTCCACGCGCCACGCGCCATCGCGCCCGCGACACCGCGCCCGCGCGTCCTCGCGCGCGCGATGGAGCTCTTCCGAAGCGAACCGATGACGCTCTGTCGCGTCATCGTCCCGGAGGAGGCGGCGAGGGACACGGTGGAGCGTCTGGGCACGCTCGCGCGGGCGCAAATCAAAGATCTCAATCCAAACGTCCCGGGGTTTCGTCGACCGTGGGCGAACGGGGTGCGACGATGCGAAGAGATCATGCGACGATTGCGATACTTCCGGGAGGAGTGCGCGCGCGCGGGGACGGTGGTGCGAGGAGGCGGTGGTGGTGGACGATGGATGGGGGGGGACGCGAACGACGCGGGCGCGCGGGCGGAGGACGCGATCGATCACGCGACGGAGACGCTCGAACGAGATCTCGTGCAGGCGGTGAAGAATCACGATCGGTTGAGTCGAACGTTGGGTGAACTCGTGGAGGTGCAGATCGTGCTGGAGAAGGGACAGGGAATGTTTGAGGAGTCGCGCGGCGAGCGAGACGGACGCTCGAGCGAGTTTCGAGCGGCGCAGAGGAGTTACGACGACGTCGAGGGTGGGGGTGGGGAGACTTTGTTACCGGGAGTGTCGATGGCGTCGAATGATGGGATGGGGCAGCGTCGAGGGTCGTCATCGTACCTGGAAATGGCGGAGATGGACGTGGGCGGGGCCTCGGCGAGCGGACGCGACGGCGGAGGCCAAAGATCGAACGCGAACGCCGTGCGGCTCGGGTTCTTGGCGGGGGTGATTTTGACGAGTAAAGTGATCGCGTTCGAACGCATTTTGTTCCGCGCGACGCGCGGGAACATGTTCTTGAAGCAGTCTCGAATCGACGGCACGGTCATAGATCCGACGACGGGCGAGCGATGCGAGAAGACGGTTTGCGTCGTCTTCTTCGCCGGCGAGCGCGCGAGGGAAAAAATCATCAAGATATGCGAGGCGTTCGGCGTGAACAGGTATCCATTTCCCGAGGATTACACTAGACAGCGTCAGATGTACGCCGAGTGCACGTCGCGATTGGTCGAGCTGCAAAACACTCTCGACGTCTCGACGGAGCATCGCGACGAAATTCTTCGAAAAATTGGCGACAAGTTGGAGGACTGGACGCAGACCATCTTACGCGAGAAGGCGATTTATCACACCATGGGAATGTGTTCAGTGGACGTCACGCGCAAGGTTCTCGTCGCACAGGCTTGGGTTCCGGACTACGCGTTGTCCTCGGTGAGAGAGGCACTCACGGCGGCGAATCAGTCATCCTTCGCGTCGGTTGGAACAATTTTCCAGCAGATCGATCCCACGCCTGGAGAGTCACCGCCGACGCACTTCAGGACAAACAAGGTCACGTCCGTGTTTCAGGGCATCGTCGATGCGTACGGTGTGCCGAGTTACCGCGAGGTAAATCCCGCGGTGTTCACCATCGTGACGTTTCCCTTTTTGTTCGCCGTCATGTTCGGCGACTTTGGTCACGGCATTCTCATGCTCATCGCCGCGCTGTACATGGTGAAGAACGAGAAAAAGCTCGGCGCGGGTGGGTTAGGTGAAATCGTACAGATGACGTTCGACGCTCGATACGCGATTCTTCTCATGTCCATCTTTAGCATTTACGTCGGTTTGCTCTACAACGAGTGCTTCTCCGTCCCGATGTCACTGTTTGGCAAGAGCAAGTACATCTGTGATCCTACCGATCCCACGGCGGCGACGTCGTGCGAGACGCAGTTCGATACCGATCGTGGCCTTGTCAATAACGGTGAGGGCGCGTATCCTTTCGGCGTCGATCCCATCTGGCATGGCACTCGATCCGAGTTGCCGTTTCTGAACTCGATGAAGATGAAAATGTCCATCCTCATGGGCGTGACGCAAATGATGCTCGGGATCTTCATGTCTTACCTCAACCAAGCGTACAACAACGATACGCTTTCCATGTACTGCGAGTTCATCCCACAGGTCGTCTTCCTTGGCGCTCTCTTTGGGTATTTATCGCTCCTGATAGTCATTAAATGGATCACCGGATCCACCGCCGACTTGTACCACGTGATGATTTACATGTTCCTGTCACCGGGCAACGTGGACTGCATGGGCGAGGGTAAAGACGGCGGTCCGGGATGTCCCGAGAATAAGATGTTTGCAGGTCAAGGCGCATTGCAGAATTTCCTGTTATTCCTCTGCGCCGTCGCGGTTCCGGTGATGTTGTTCCCGAAACCGTTCATCTTGAAAAAGCGACACGAGGCGGCGAGAGGCGGTGGCGTGCGTCGCGGCGGCGTGCGATACGCTCGTCTCGACGGTAATGACGAAGAAGACAACGACAGACAGTTCTTGCAGGCGTCCGATGCTGAGAGAAGCTCGCAGTCGGCCGAGAACGAGGACGATTTCGATTTTGGTGAAATCATGGTGCATCAAGGTATTCACACGATTGAGTTTGTTCTCGGCGCCATCTCCAACACGGCGTCGTACCTTCGTCTTTGGGCGCTGTCGCTCGCGCACGCGCAGCTTTCAGCAGTGTTCTGGGACCGCGTTTTCATGGGCGTTGGCGTCTCGAGCGGTAGCTCTGTCGTCGTCGTGTTTGCCTTCGCTGTCTGGGCCGCCGCAACCGTCGGCGTGCTCATGCTCATGGAATCTCTGTCAGCCTTTTTGCACGCCCTGCGTCTGCACTGGGTCGAGTTCAACAACAAATTCTATAAGGGTGATGGTTATGCGTTCGTTCCCTTCTCATTCGAAGGCCTCCAGGACGTCGAGCGATGAGCCCAATGTCAACGTACATACATCTACATTTGTGATTGAAACAAACCACACGCACCGGTAGCGAGACTTCCATCACCCACTTCCTCACACAACGCCATGTTTTCCCGCGACGAGTTCGCCCGCGCGCCGCGTGACGTCTCCCTCACGTTCGAGCACGTATCCACCCCTCAGCTCATCGCCTTCTCGGCGTCGTGCGCGGCGTGGTTCGCTCTGCAGTTCCTCGTCGGTCGTTACTGTTCGAGCAAACACGCCAAGTTTTGGTCCACCCTAGACGCACGTTCGCGCGCTGAAATCACCGTTCGCGCCGTCGCTGGATGCTTCGGCGCCGTGAGCAGCGTCTGGGCGTTCGCCTTGCTCGTCATGGACGGCGGACGGGGAGGTGGGTCGACGATGGCGCGGATGTTCGCGCCGGAGGGGAGCGTGCTGCGCGACTCGGGTGAGACATTATTCGCGATGGCGTGCGGGTATTTCGTCTGGGACGTCGTAGTGAGCGTCATTGAGTACAATAATTACGGATTCGCACTTCTCGTGCACGCGTGCGCGAGCTTAGCGGCATTCACGGTTCCGCAGATGATGCCGAAGGGATTCCTGTACGAGTTCGGCGCGAAATTTCTGCTCTGGGAAATCACGGCGCCTTTCCTCGGTGCGCGCACGATCATGATCAAAACAAAGCGCACAGATGGTTGGGGTTTTCGATTCGTCGAGCGTGCGGGTTTCACGCTTTTTTTCGCCGTTCGCTTCTTCCACGGGCTACCGGCGATGGCGACTGTGATATATGACATCAGGGCGCTCAGGGCGCGCGGATTAGCGAAGCCAGTGGGCGTGTACAACGCGTACGCGGCGGCGGCGGTGTTGTTTCCTCTTATGAATTGCTTGTGGGTTTACAAAATGCTGCGGGTATTGCTCAGAGGTAAGACGAAGAAGTCCGTCTGAGATGGCTGACGCTCTCGTCGACGGTTTGCGTTCCGCGCTGTTCGTGCGAAGGCTGTGATGACGGAGCGATTCTTGACGAAGGGAATTCGACGCAAACATCCAATGCGTGCACGCCGAGGAACGCAAGTACTCCACGTCGCGATGGTTCGTCGTCACCGAGCGCCCACAACCCGAGAGCGACGGTGAGGAAGACAAGTATGAAGCACCAGAGTTGTCGCAGCGTCTCCGCAGACGCTCGTCTACGCTCCAACAATCGTAGCTTTGCGAGTAAATGCGTGAGAACCTCATAGTATAGTTCCTCACATCTTGTTACGAATATTTGCTCCGCGCCCTCTGAAACGCGTGCGGCGAAGTGCGATAATCGAACGTGCGCATTGAAAACTTCGGTGTGCGCCGCGCGCCAGCCAAAAATCAATTCTGAGCTCCATACGATGATGATTGGGGCGCTGAAAGCGAGAACGGAGCCCGACGAATCGGGCATGAGCAGACACGCTGCGAATGCTAAAAATAGCACGCGCGCCAAGGCTCGAGCTTGGGGGAAATTTCCATACGATCTCTTGAGAGCTTGATTCACGGCGACTGAAATCATGAGCGCACCAATCGCGGCGTACAACGCAATGACATTGTTGGATGCATCGGTTCTCTTTCCGTTGATCCATCGCTCAAATGCAGAGATCGCTAACGCGGGTGCGACGCTAACCGAAGCGATGACGCCAAGTTTCCGCGATAAATCATCCAGCTTCCAGAGGATGTTCACTGTGGCTTTCATCTCACAGAGCGAAGGACATCGAACGCGCGATTTCCTCACGCGATTTCCTCGATGATTGATTCGCATGAACGCTCGATGTAAGGAGTGCGCGTCGCAATCACGGATCATTGAAACCCAGTCTCCTATGAATACGACGTCGTCGCCTTCGCAGAGGACGATCCGGTCGCACGCGGGAAGTACGCCGATCTCACACGTGGTGAAGACACACGACCGACGACGATTTGCGAGCTTATTTTTAATCAGCCGACGACGAATGCTCGCACTAGTAGCTTCGTGAAATGGATCTTCCACTAAGATTGTGCGCGCGTGCAGGCGACGAGCGCGCTCGATTCCTATCGCACACGCGTACGTCGTCTCCAAAGCACTTGACGCGGAGTCGTCCACAGTGCGACTCGATTCTCCACTCGTGGCATACTCAACAAAACGACTAGAACAGCAAAGCGCACCTTCGAGCGTCTCGCATAGACGTGTACGGTGGAAGTCATCAACATGAGATGAGGCGGCACCCAACGCACTGGCGTTCACGCGCTTGTCCACGGGTTCCGGAACAGTCCACTCGACCGTGCGCGATAACAGAACTCCGACATCGCGGTCGTCTCGAACTCCCCGTACGACACGATCAAACAGGGCGTCGTTACCGTCGCCAACGATCGCCACTAATTCGCCTGTGTGATTTATGAGAGCTGAAATCGCTACTGGCGACTTTGAGTTCTTCTCCATCCGCGGCGCCATCGAGCTCAACCAATCAAGTCTTCTTCTTGTATCCCCGTAAGTGTTCAGCGCGAGGACAATCGAGCGTACGCATGCGACGCCGAGAATCAGTGACGAAAACGCGTCTGCCTCATCGACGTAGCGCACCAACACGGAGTGTATCACGCCAGCCGCAACGAGGCCGCCGTACGTGACAGCCTCGAACACGTGTTGCCACATTGAACCGCACGCAGCCGCAGCGCAGCCTCGGGCGAATACTCGCCACTCTTTGAAGACGTGATCTGGGCTCACTGGAACCATCGTGTCAAACGCAACTGTGCCGTATATCGCTCGCTCGAACAACTCTGCCGTTCTTGCTCGAGCGATTCCTCCTACGAGCTCCACACCCGCTCGCGCCGCAAATGAGGAAAGAAACCAACCGAGCTCCCCGCGGCTCACGAGTCTTCGCGCACCAAAGGCGCAAAATATGGTCGACGTGAGAGCGCAGACTCTTAAAAACGCGTGGGCGACGATGACCGTCGCGCGCTCGAGTGGTGCCGGTGAAATCGAAGCGGTGCCGGTTCGCCTTCCCGATGAATTTTTCACTGCCTCCCACCTCGAGATGATGTCAAACGGCGCATCCTCGGCGATTGCGTAGCGAGACGGCATACCTGATTTGTCGTCGCGGTGGGAGCACCAACGCGCGAAACGCACCTCGTACGTCAAACGTTCGAGGCTAGGTGTGAAGACGCGCCTTGGTATTGCCGCCGGCGTCGCTAGTAACAAATTCCACACTGAAATAAATTACAGCAAAGCTCGCTCTAATAATCTAATCTACAGAGGCCACGTCGGAATAGGACCTGGGATGTATTCACAGTGAAACCCGTACGGGACGCGCACCGGGATATTCACGACGCACTGCTCCGTCATCACCTCCTTGGAAACGTCCAATACTAGCAACTCTGCACGAGGATCATCGCCTTCAATGTGCGTTAGAACGAGCAAATAACCGTCGTCCTCGCTCTTCGGCTCTTCGCTGGGGACGAAAACAATATCACCACACGTCTTTCCGTCGCCTAAATCGTAGCGCGTCGTCACGCCCGTATCCAAATCGTGTTTCAAGACGGCATCGAAAGTAGGAATGTCCATTCGGTCCTTGGGTTCTGTGCCTGCTTTGTACGCGACGGAATACGCGTAGCGATACTTCAAGCCGGTGAAGTCTCTATTGATGCACGGAAAGTCCGACGGCTGCTCACACATGCGCGTGCTAGATATCAACGATTTGGACGCCGTGTCCAGCTCCCATCGCCACAATGCGGCGACGTCTCGCCCGGCGCAAACAGGATTCGCTGAGGGCGTCGAGCGCGTCGCCTGTGACTCCTGGCACATACCCAACGCGTTCGTTTCGTCTGATTTACACACGTCGAGCACGAGTTTCGAACCTTCCTCGTACGCATTCACGACGTGGTAGGCGAAGCACGTCTCATCGGTATCGATCCAGTACGGACCGTCGTCGCCCTCTCGAGGCACGTAACCGACGCGAAGCGTGGACTCTTTTTCGAAACTGAACGGAAGTCCGCCTTGTATGACGCGTGAGAGATTGAAAATCAGCGGACCGTCGATAAGAACGATCTTCGTCGGCGTGATGGCGACGTCGTGCTGCATGGACGGTCGATCCACCTTGAACGTTCTCTTGCGCGTTCTCTTCCCGCTCTTCTCATCGATCGCACCGACGGTGATGGTGGTCTGACCCTCTTGCTCGGGTCCCAGCGCGACGAGATTGTACCCCATGTAGATGAGCTCCTTTGTGAGCGGACAAATTTTCGGGTGCGCCGTGAAATTTCCAGCCCAGAAATCCGCCGTCGTGAAGCTCCCGTTAAAATCGCACAGCCCCTTCGTCGTCAATAGCGGATCCACCGCGAGCTCGTACGGGGAACCCGATTCAAACAACGACAGCAGTCGCCCGCCGTGATATTTGAGCGCGTTCGAGCTCGTATTCTTCGACTGAATCACGAAGTACGCCGAATCGGGCCGCGCGACGTCCAGCGTACACTTTTCAACCAAACGAGGAATCAAGTACCGCCATATCGGATTAATGTCCCTCAATCCCGTGTACAACGCTTCACCACTCGCCCGCTCGCGCTCGAACCCGCGCGTTCGCACGTACCGCCGCACGTACGTCGCCTTTCCGTCCCCCAACCGCACCGCGTGCACCATTCCGTCGCCGTCAAACCAGTGATACCGATCCACCCCCAGCGCCGGCTCGCGGTGCGGATTCGGCCCATTTCTCGCGTACACCCCATCGATCGCCCTCGGAAGCCGCCCCGCGATCGCGCACGCGAGTTCATGCGCGAGTTCATCCGCCACCGGGGCGAAATTTCCCGAGAGCGCCGGATTGCTCATCGTCCCATCCGTCCCGTCGACGCGTCCAACGCGCGCGCGCGGACGCGACCGCGGCATCGCGCGCGCGCGGACGCGCGTCGACGGCGCGCGCGCGGCGGCGCCCATGCGAGCGCGCGCGTGGACGTGACGCGCGTCCACATCGCGCGCCGCCCGCACACCCCGGCGCGTCGCTCGAGCGATGACCACGGCGCATCGCGCGACGTGGACCACGGCGCGCGGACGCGAACACCAAGGCGGGGCGAGACTGTTCGGGGCGAGCGCGAAGCGGTCCAAGCTGGACGCCGCGGGATTCTTGACGCTCAAGACGCGAGACGCGATCGCGAACGATTCCACCGCGGACGCGTTGTTGCGAGATGATCTGCGACGCGAGCTCGAGGAGCGCGAACGAGCGGCGAGAGGGACGAGTGATCGCACGGGGGGGATTGGATCGGTCGGCGCGGCGACGGTGGAGACGCTGAAGCGATTGGGGGAGGGAGAGGAGGCGGCGGACGCGGGGAGACGATTCGCTCCGAGGGCGGAAGACGCGGACGACGACGGGAGCGAGAGCGATTCCGAGAGTGATTCCGAGAGTGATTCCGACGGTGCGTTCACCGGAGAACATGCGCGGATGCCGACGCGGTGACGACGCGGTGCCGACGCGGTGACGACGCGAGACGCGGTGATTGACGATTTCGACGCGATTCGTCTCGCAGACGACGACACGGCGGCGCTCCTGGCCGAACTCGAGCGAATCAAGGCTGAACGCGCGGCGGAAGCGAGGGCTAAGGCGGCGGAGGAGGACGCGGCGGCGATGGATAAGAGAAAAGACGAGTTGGCCACCGGAAACCCGCTGCTCGACCTCGGCGCCTCGGGCGATTTCCGCACCAAGCGTCGATGGGACGACGACGTCGTCTTCAGGAACCAGGCCCGGGACGAGCCCAAGGTTGGTAAACGTTTCATCAACGATACCATTCGAAGCGATTTCCACAAGAGATTTTTGAATAAATACATCAAGTAGACGGACCGATCGCGTCGCGAGGCGACCGCGGCGCTTCTCGGAATCCAAATCCACGTCACGCGATCGCCGTGGACGTCACTCGTCGCCGTCGCCCCCGACGCGCGCTCGATCGATCGCCCGCGAGTTGAAGACCGCCAACGCGTCGGTTACACCTCGTTCGACATGCGCGCCGCCCTGTTCGCGTGCGGACGCGCCGTCGTCGCGCCCCGGTCGCTCGCGCGCGCCGCCTCGAGGTCACACGCGATCGTCGGTCGTCCACGCGTGGTCCACGCGCGCGCGATGAGCGGTGGGGCCCAGCGCGCGCGCGACGGTGACGCGGTGAAGATACACTACGTCGGAACTTTGGAAGACGGCTCGCAGTTTGACTCGAGCCGCGACCGCGGGGAACCGATCGCGTTCACGGTGGGGAGCGGACAAATGATCAAGGGCTTCGATAACGGCGTGCGAGACATGGCGGTGGGTGATCGTAAGACGATCGAGTGCGCGCCGGCGGAGGCGTACGGGGAAATTCGACCGGAGAATATCCTGCGCGTGCCCAAGGGAGACGTCGTGGACGCGGTCGGTGAGGATTACATCAAGGTTGGAGAAAAGTTGATGGTTGGACAAGGCATGCCGGCGACCATCGTGGAGGTGACGGATAGCGAGGTCGCGCTCGACGCCAACCACCCGTTGGCGGGTAAGACGCTGAATTTTGACATTGAGTTGATGTCCCTCGACCGCGTCGACGTGAAGCACAACTCCAAGTTCAAGTGCTTCTTCGACATCACCATCGGCGGCGAGGCGGCGGGACGCATCGTCATGGAGATTCGCGGCGACGTCACGCCGAAGACTGGGGAAAACTTCCGTCAGCTTTGCACGGGTGAGGCTGGTTTCGGTTACAAGGACTCTCCGTTCCACCGCGTCATCCCGGGCTTCATGTGTCAGGGCGGTGACTTCACCAACCGCAACGGCACCGGCGGCAAGTCCATCTTTGGCAACAAGTTTGAGGATGAAAACTTCACGCTCAAGCACACCGGTCCGGGCATCTTGTCCATGGCGAACGCGGGCCCGAACACGAACGGTTCTCAGTTCTTCTTGTGCACCGCCGAGACCGCGTGGTTGGACGGCAAGCACTGCGTCTTTGGCTCTGTTGTCGAGGGCATGGATGTCGTGCAAAAGGTCGAAGCCGTCGGCTCTCAAAGCGGCAAGACGAGCGCTGAAGTGCTCATCGCGGACTGCGGTGAGCTCTAAGCGCTCGCACCCTATTCATCTGTCCCGAGTCTAATCATCGCAATTTGGTCCGCACGAACGGTGTACCAGTAGTTGGCTTGCCTAATATTAATCACAATGACTCCTAACACACACACACACACACGCACCATCACGGACCAGGCTCGTCGCTCTTCGGACCGTCTGGACGCAACGTATCCGCCTCTTTCCCTTCTTCGTTCACTGGCGTCAACTCAACGTCCCGGAATTCCTCCCTCGTATGCTCGCCGCTCGAACGCGCCCCATCGCCCGTACTCACCGGTTGCCACGTCGCGTCGGTGCTGTGGCTCGGCGCGCCGCCAAACGTCGGTTTCATCACGTTCGTCTCAAAATCCTCCCACCACTCGAACAGCCTCGCCTTGATGCGGAAAGCGAGCGCGATATACCAAACCGGATGTCCCTCGGCGATCGCTCTCGCGCGAACCGCTCTGGCTCTCGGCGAAGGGATGATGAATCCCAAGCCATCCTGCGCCGTCGAACTCATCGCCTGACTCAACATGCCCTCTCGATCGTTCGGATCGTGTAAATCGAGTCGCTTCATCAGCGGCAGCGTCATGCTCCCGAAGACGAGCGTGGTGACGAGGCAAATCATCAAAGTACCGGTCTCGATCGCGCGCGATCCTCTGTCCCCCTCTCTCGTTGACGGCATGTTCACCGCCAAGGCGTACGCGACTGCCCCTCGCAACCCACATGCCGCGTGCATGATCTGAATATTGGGCGGAATGGGCGTCTCGCGCATCGTGTTTGCTAACATGCTTAGCGGGAAAATGTTCACCGCCCTGGCCAAGAGCGCGAGCGGGATTCCCGTGAGTAAAATCCCGAAGTCCCACAGGTGCTTAAACGTCGCCACTTGCATGCCCAGGTAGGCGAAGACAAATGTCTCGGACAAGAACGCCGCCGCCTCGAACGACTTGAATACCGCGATCTGCGCCTCAGAGCCGACGTTGTGGTACGAATAGTGCGCGTTGCCGATGCCGGTGAAGAAGATGCTCATGATTCCGCTCATCCCGACGTTTTCCGCCAAGACGTACGAAAAGTAGCCAGAGATTAGTAAAAGCGCGAACGTGTACGCGGTCCCGTTGTAAGACGCCGCGACGTTCGGAGGCGCCTTGGCTAGGCCTAAAGTTTTGAGCAATAGTGCGGTGCCGAGTGCGATTAAGATGCCGATGAGCAATGAACCGATGGAGACCATGATGAACTGCCCGATGACTGTGCCAAACGTCTTGCTCGTGAAATCCTTGTCATAAAACGCCGCCAACGTGCGGAAGAGCACCACTGCCACCGCATCATTTAGCACGCTCTCGCCAAAGACTAAGTTGTACAAGAGCGGCGGCGCGGAGACGTCGGCAAAAATCGACAGCGTCGCCACGGGATCGGTTGACGATATGAGCGTGCCGTAAAGCAAGCACTCCAACAACGGATTAGACCCGAGATGATGCCTCGAAATCACCCCGATCTCGACGAATAAAAACGTAAACAATCCGAAGACGAAGCTCGATATCACCGTCCCCACGAAGGCGAAGAGCGCGATCGTGAAGAAATCGGCAAAGAAATCGCGTCGCTTGAGATTCAAGCCCGCCGAGTAAATGATAATCGGAAGCAATCCATAGAAGAACGCCTGCGGAGAGAATTGAAACACCTCCACGTCCGCGTCTCGCTCGGTGCTCGCTCGGGCGAGTGTTCCCGCGAGGACGCCTATGATGAGCGCCGCCCCGCTCGGTTGCACCGCCCGAACGTTATACCGCTGTATGAGATAGCTCACGACGACGCACGCCATGATGAGCAGCGTCGGGACGAGCGCGGAGTACGCCCCGCCCGCCTCCGCCGCGGGCGATCCCGAGGGCGCCATGCTCGCCCGCCGTCGACGGATCCGTCTCGACCGTCGACCGCGATTCTCGTTTGACCGCCTCGACGCCACCGCCGTTCACGAAGCTCCACCGAGGATCGACGACCGCGACGACGACGACGACGACGACGCGCGACGTCTCCTCCGTGCTCGCGACGCGTTCGCGCCGAGCGTCGACCGAGGCGTCGTCGGATGACGCGCGATGGGTGACGTACCGGTGAACGCACCGCGCGCGTCGTCACGTCGTGACGCGAGCGAACGAGCGAACGGCGAGGCGGGACGATGACAACCGCGAGCGCGCGAACGATCGTCGAGCGCTGGGCGCGACGGACGGAGACGACGGACGCGCGCGATGACGTGGTCACCAGAGGGATCAATTTCAAAAGCGTTCGATGGATGATGACGACGTCGAGTGAACCGACGGAGGAACTGACGATCGAGGCGTTCGGGAGGGCGTGTGAGGAGGCGTACGAGGCGCTGCGTGAGGACGTGAAGCCGCTGGCGTTGGCGTACTTTGTGCGAGAGCGGCAAAGCGGGACGATTCGGCTCGAGACGGGGACGCGACGAAGGACGAGCGACGGCGAGGAGGCGGTCGTGGCGGGACTCGTCAGGGCGAACGCGGGAGATGAAAACGCGCGAGCGATGGTGTACGAGGAGGAGCGGCGCATGAAAACGGCCATGCACGCCGCGGCACCGGGGGTGAGCAACGCGTTTCGGGAGAACGCGTGCGGACGCGTCAAGTGCTCGGCGGCGACGAGAAACGGAGACCCAGGACGACGATCGAGCGTCGGCGCGGTGAACGGCGCGGTGAATGGGGCCAAGGCTGGTGGTGGTGCGCCGCCGCGAGCGAGCGGCGCCGCTCATGCGGCCGGGGCGAAGGATGGTGATGCGGTGAAAAAGGAGGCGGGCGGACCAAAGACGCATTCATTGATGTCCATGTTCGCGAATGCGCCCAAGCCCAAGACGGCGGCGACGAAGGTCGCAGAGGCGAAGAAAGCGACGACACCAAAGACGATGACGCCACCAAAGCCAAAGGTGACGACAACGCACAAACCAAAGGCTCCCGCGAACGCGGACGCGGCGATTTTGGCCGCCGAAGAGGACGAGAGCGAAGACGACGATTCGGACGACGAACTCGGCGCGGAGCGAAAACCGAGAAGGAAACGCGCGGTGATGATTGAGTCAGAGGACGAGGAGAGCGAAGAAGAGGCGGAGGCGATGGAAATTAATGACGAACCTGAGGCTGCGCGAACGCCGACGCCAAAGAAGAAGCCGGCAACTCCCAAGAAAAAGCCGGCTACTCCCGAGAAAAAGCCGGCTACTCCGAAGAAGACGCCACCTTCCTCTAAGCGCAAGGCGGTGGCGACACCCACGAAGGACGAAGAGAATGATGAGAATCTCGCGAACGACGCACCGAGCCAACCAAACTCCCGCCCGCAGTCTGTGACGAAGAAACCGAAGAAGGAAAAGGGTTTGTCAAAGAAGGCGCTCTTGGCACGCCGCATCAAGAAAACCATCGAAGAAATGGATGAAGAAACGGGCGAAGAGACGATGCGCACGATCTACGTCGACGAGTTCGACAATGAGCTCAACGATGACGGTACGTACAAGGATCCAGAAAACGTGAAAACGGTCAAGGCTTGATGTAATCATTGCAATCTTTTCTCATTCAGAAAAACGGCGACTCAAGAGGTCGCGTCTCGCTCGTCATCAATCGAGGCGGTACAAGCTCCCGCGATTCGTGCGCGCGGATGTCTTCAGTCATTGAGTACGTTCGTTTCATCTCGCCGCACATCTCATCGATCTTGCGCGCAGAGATGTTATGGCATTTACGATCGACGTGCCAAGTTACGGCGTATGGCGAGCACTTATCAATCGAGTCGTACTTCGAACCGGTGGTCGAACCGATGTATTGAAGCGCGTCCGTGACGATCGAAGCGTTCCACCCAGAGAGCAAAGATTTCGCATCATCATCGTACGCGCCGTCGCCACCGTTTGTCACCCGGAAGACCTGCGCCCGAACCACGATGAGCGGGTTCCGTTGAGTCGCGAACGCCGAGCCGAGACCGTCCGAGATTTCCGCTCCGCGCTCGCCTCCCGTGGAGTACACCCAGTGTAACTCCACCGTATCACCGAGCGCGACGTTTTCGCAGTGCACAAAGGCGTCATTCGACGCCTCGCCGTCCGACCCCAGCGTCGCGGCGTCGTCGCACGAGAATCCAGTCTCGGAGACCTCGCGCGTCGAGTACTCTCCCTCGCTCCGATGCTCCGCCGGCGCGTGAAAGTGCACGTTCACCAAAACCATCCCCCTCACATCGCTCACCATCGCGCGTTTCCACGTCTCGCTCGCCATCGCGCCCATCGCCGCCGTCGCCGAGACATCGATCGGCGCCTGCGCGCGCGCGTCTCGACACGCGACGAATTCCTCGTTCGCCCGCGCCGCGGTCGCGCCCACCCCCGCGACGATCGCGCGCACCACCGCGACGATCGCGCGTCCCCGCGTCCCACGCGCGCGCGCCATCGCGCGATCACCCGGTCGATCTCCCGGTCGTCGTCCACCGCCGCGCGCGGTCCGAGTGACGCGAACCGTCGCCCGCGTCCACCGACGCTCGACGCGATCGCACGGCATCGCGCGGTCTATAGGTTGGGTGACATTCGACGCACCTTTTGAATCACGACCCGAAACTTTGTGCGTTGCATCACCGGCACGACCCATCGACGGCGATGGACTCGACCGAGCGCTCGCGCGGCATCGCGCGTCGATCCATCGCGCGCGGTCGCGTGGACGTCTCCGTTCGGATTCGAACGGTCGGCGACGACGACACGCGTCGATGTGCGTCCCACGTCACCTTTCGAATCATCACCTTTTGACGATTTCGTGGATGTCCACGTGTGGGCGAACAGTCTACATCCGCGACGAACGACCACGGACGTCGCGCGGGCGACGCCCGAGGGCGACGGCATCGGCGGGCGCGACGGGCGATGGGGTGCTCGAAGTGCCGATACAGCGAGCGTGGGTGCGCGAGATGCGTCGTGAACTTTATCGGACGCGCGCGAGCGACGACGGAGACGGCGTCGGGGCCGATGACGAGCGAGATGGGTCGAAAGGGGGTGACGATGAATTCAAACCGCTCGACCGCGATCTCGAGCTCGGAGAAGCGTAAGAGAGTGGGCGAGAACGTCTCGAGGGGGATTAAGCGAGGGCGATCGAACGCGAGGGAGGATAAGGTGGGTAAATCGGGACGGACGTCGACGATCGGGGTGAAGACGCCTGGGATGAAGACCCCGACGGCGAGATTCGGCGCGCGCCGCGGGCTGGCGAGCGAGAGCGAGAGCACGGAGATGAAGGCGAGAGCGACGCAATCGATCGTCGCTCGAGCGAGTGAGACGAGTGAGAGCGATGGTGATGGTGGAGCAAAGGAGAGGGATGGCGAAGACGATGAGACGTGGGAGGACGCGCCGAACGGGAGGGTGTTGTTCGACGACTGCGAAATGCCGTCGCCGAAACCGATCGAGGAGATGAGTCCCGGGGCTGTGGAGAGCGTGATCGCAAAATCGCCGTCGGCAATGCGACAAAGCACAACTTTCATCAACGAAACACCGCCATCACCTCTCGCGGCGGCGTTCGCGATGATTAGTGACTTCTTAGACTCTCCGAGACGCGAGCGCTCGCGAGTCTGCGATAGGGGAGATTTTTGGGGCTTGTCCGCAGCCGCGGGATGACGGTGGGACCGTCCACCACTATTACGTGCCAGAATGATCACTCGCGCATACTATAGATTCTCATTAAGGAATTTGTGAAACAAAATAACATCACAATCTTGTCGTTCGCTGTCTAGGCATCGCCGCTCATCTTCGAGTCGGCGGCCGCCGCCGCCAGGCGTTCTTCGAACGCACTACGTTTTACCTCGTTCATGTCAGCTGAGTCTATGGCCCACTTCATTTTGCTTTCCTCCCTGGTTACGCGTTTGTTCTCCATGCGCTGTCGCTCGAGCTTGAGTTTCTCTTGAAGCTGCATTCCCTCTTTCCTGTATCTCGCCACCTTTGCCTCGTGCGCGTTCTCGTACCACTGATTAAACGCCTGCGAGAGCTCGATGTGCTGCCAGCGGACGTAGACCTTGGACATGACGCGCAATCGGTTGTATCGCTCGCTGAGCAATTCCACCCAAGCCGCGAGAACCTTGCGCTTTAGGTTTTTCTCGTACGTCTCGTTCACCGACTGATCAACCCAAATCGTGAGCAAACCTTGAGCCTCTGCCAAGCGCTCCTTGCACTCCTTGAGCTTCTCGAGCGCCTTAGCGCGCTCTTCAGCACTCTCAAACTCACCTCGAGCGAGTTGTTCGTCGAGTGCGAAATACACGCGCGTGAGCTCGTCGATTCTACGAATCTTCATCCCTTCCACAAACGACTGCACTTGCGCCTTGGTTTTTTCCACGCGTTTCACGAGCGCCTTTTCGACCGGCTTGGCTTGTTCGGCGAAATTCGTGCTGTAAAAGTAGTTTCGCGTCAAACCGACTTTGCTCATGGGCTTCATCGGGGCGTCAGGATCCGCATCCTTGTCTCTCACCGTGAGGCATACGCTCGCGCCGCGGCATTTGGTGAACACCAGTCGAGTCCGCATCCACTCCAAAATCATCTTCGGGTGCCACTCTTTGACGCCTTCACCCTCGCCCTCGCCGATGTGATATTTCTCACCAATCAGTTTCAAGCCGTGGCCGAGCACACCCAACGCGGCGGTGAAGAACAAGGTCCACGCGAGCTCCTTGTGCGTTTCGTCCGCCAACACGCCGTTCGACTTATTTGATTTCGCTGCAGCCTTATCTTTCTTCTCCTGTTTGCGGGCGGCCGCGACTGCGGCGGCGGTAGCGGCGGCAGCAGCGGTAACTTTGTCGTTCTTCTCCTTCTCGCGAGCAGCAGTGGCAGTCACCTTGTCTTGTCGCTCCTTCTCTCGCGCCTTCTCACGAGCAGCCGCAGCCTTCGCCTTTTGCTCCTTCTCACGCGCCGCAGCTTTCTCCTTTTGCTCCTTCTCACGCGCCGCGGCTTTCTCCTTTTGTTCCTTCTCACGCGCTGCAGCCACCGCCTTGGCCTTGTGTTCTTTCTCGACAGAGATTTTCTTCTTTCCCGCCGACGCGTTCTTCTCGGTATCAGTCGCCTTTCGCGATCTCCCCTGGATATTCTCCGCCGCATCTTCCGTTGTACTGACGATAACTGACATCATCTTCAATCGCCATGCGCTAAGACGCTCGCGCGACTTCCCAACGAGGTCTCCCGCGAGCGGGACGACTCGGTCGCCACTCACGACGTCACCAAACTCCTTAACCTTCCTCTTCACCTCCGCCGTGAGTTCCTTGCTCGTGCGATCGAGTGTCGGATAGCTCTTCTCGTAGAGTTGTCCGCTGAACGAGTGCCAGACGCTATTCTCGCTCTGGTCCCTCGCTCGTCCCGTGGATGTCTTTCCGCTCGACTCCTTCTCGCGAGGCGCTTGACTCCTTCTCTCCCATCGATCGACGCTCGTTCTCGCGTGCTCCGCCGTCTTGGACGCGTGTCTAATATTACCCTTCGCCGGAACGTCCAGAACCATCCCAGCCGTGAGCGCGGACGCGTTGGCGTGAGGATTCAGGAGAAGGATCACCTCGGCCCTCGTGTTCGTACGCTTGGCGAATTCACGAAGCGTCTCGTCGCGCGCAACCTTGACTTTGACGAACGCGCGATCGGCGGGCCCCGGGGAGGGCGAACGGGATCGTCCCCGACCCCGATCGCTCGCCCCCGAGCTCTCGGGCATCGCGCGCGTCTGCCGATTCGCATTCACCGCGGTCGAATTCATTTCCAAAAATCATCGAACGGCGCGCGTCCGACCCATCGCGATCGTCGCGACGAGCGATCGATCGATCGACGCACCGCGAAAGGGACGTCGATCGGGACGTCGATGCCTTTATCGATCGACCTCATCGATCGCCCCTTTCGCGATTTCCATCGGTGGCGATCGCGCGACGGCTCGCGCCATCGCGTTCGGTGACGAGTCATGAGTCATGAGTGACGAGTCGTGGGAGAGTCCCGTGAAGCAAATCCCGTCATCGCACGCACGCGAGAGACTTTGGCGCCTCGCGCGACGCGCCCATCCCCCGCCGACGCGACCGCCTCTTTGAGACGCGCACGATGGCCGCGACGAAGGGTGCGTGCGATGACTCGCGACGTGATGCGCGAAAGAGATCGATCGGCGTCGAACGACGTCGCGACGGACGCGCGCACGGCGTCGCGCGATCGATGGAACGCGAGAGATGCCATCGACCTCGAGCGCGTTGAGGGCTTTGCGACTGACGGACGATCGACGCCGCAGACGAGAAGGTGAACAAGGCGAGCAAGGCCGCCAAGTTCGTGAAGAAGGGTGCCAAGGGGAAGCTTTTGAAGAAGCGATTCTCGGCCACGTTCCACAGGTGCGCGCGACGACGCGACGACGCGAACGCGATTTGTGTTTCGTCCCGCGACCGCTCCGAGCCGCGAGACAGACCATCGAGAGAGACTAACGAGCGACGTTCTCACCGTTTACAGGCCGCGAACGCTCAAGCATGAGCGCAAGCCCGCGTACCCGCGCGTTTCCGTGCCGTCCAAGCCGAAGCTCGACCGCTTCTCGGTGCGTCACGACGATCGATGGAAGCGCGTTTAGGGTTTTCAATTCACGCGCGAGCGCTCGCGAGCTGAAGACTCTATCGACGGACGAGAGACTGACCGACGTACGCTCTCGTCGCTTAATCACTCATCGCAGATCCTGAAGCACCCGCTCGCGAACGAAACCGCGTTGGCGAAGACGGAGAACAACAACACGCTCGTCTTCATCGTCGACGCGCGCGCGAACAAGCGACAAATCAAGGAGGCTGTCAAGCGCATGTACGACATTGACTGCGCCAAGGTGAACACGCTCATCCGTCCGAACGGCGACAAGAAGGCTTACTGCCGCCTCACGGCCGACCACGACGCTCTCGACGTGGCGAACCGAATCGGCATCATCTAATCGGTGCAACCGAATCGGTCATCGGTTTCCGGGGGAGTTTGAGCGGAGTGTAGGTGTGTGAGTAGTCAAAACGAAGAGGTGCGGGGTGTCGGCCCTCACATCGAGCGTTCTAGATCGTGGTTTATTAGGAACTATTATCTTTCGCGCGATAGCGGTGTAACGAAACCGTCCTCATGCTTTTCAATCGCTCGCGACGCGCGTTGACTCACCCGAACGAGACCGTGTGGACGTCACCGTGTGGACGTCACCGTGCCCCGTCAAATTACGACATCGCGGACGAACGCCGCACGACGAGAGATCGTGTGAACGGTACCCGATGCCACTCTCACCGGTTTCGACCACGAACTCAGAGAGTCGCGACAGGGAGAACGTCGCCCACGATCTCGTCGTCGAGACGAGACGGTTACTAAAGAAATTGAAGGAAGCCGAGAAGAGAAACGTCGAGCTGGAGAAGGAATTGGTCACGCTGAGGGCGCAACTGTTAGAGAAGGAATTAGAGGCCAGGGCGCGATCGATCGATCGTTTAAACGAGGAATTGGCGCGGACGAGAGCGAAAGGAAGCGCGGCGGAGAAACGCGCGAGGGAATCTGCGCCGGTCGCGTCTCCGAGCAAGCGGTCTAGGTCCGACGCCGATGCGTTTCGCCCAAGGTTCGACGCCCGAGGGTCGCATTGTCAACGCGCTCAGCCGAGCGCGAGAGGGCGCGGCTTCGGATGGACTCAAGAAGAAATGTGTTTCTTGGTGGATTACCTGCGGCGCAAAGGGTGCGAGCAGTGTCCACTCACTTTCAGTATCTCCTTGGTGGACGCCGATTTGACTGAACGTTTGCAACGAGTGAGCGGAAGCGCGCGCACCGCAAAAGCGATCCAACAGTTTTGGCGTGTGCGCGGTGAATACGTTTGGCAGAGCGTTATGAATCGGAAACGACTTACAAAGTCGACGCCAAATAACGAGACTCAAATGCCTCGGTGGTCGGATAAGGAACGACAAGTCCTCGTAGAGCACTTGGCTAAAACCATGGACGTGGTACCCGGGGTAGGGCATGTGCGCGGCCTGACGGTGACGCTCAGAGACGCGAAATTGCCAGACGAACTTCGTCGCGTTAACCCGGCGGCACGTAGGACACCGTCAGCCATTTTCAGCTACTGGAAAAATAATACGAAAGACCTCAGGCGAAATTTGGATAGTTTCTTACGCGACGGAGGGAATCACAGAAACGAGCGTGCGAAGCAACACCAGAAGCAAGCAAAGACTCGGACGAAGCAGTGTCATAAGCCAAGCGTACCTATTTGCCACGACTCCGTGGCAACTGAAGGAGCTATCATCGACAACGGCACGCTCAATCCGAATCAGCTCATAAGACTCAGAAAGACTGCGAAGAAATTGACGCGTGCAGACGGAAAGACGGTTTACCAAGTGATACCTGGCATAAATTTTTGTCAAAGGTGCAAGAGGACTCAAAACGACGGCGTGAAGTTCACACAGAGTAATGCTATGTGTGTGCGGTGCAGCGAACGTTGCAAGGAGCTCAGAGAGGCTCGGAAGTTAGGTGTGGATCCGCGTAAAAAGCGGAATGAAAATCGGGTTCTGCCGCCGATAGGTGAAGATGGCAAGAGAGACTTGTTGAGGGTCGAGAGAATTGAAAAAGCGCGTGAAATGCGCAGAGCGATCATTGCCGGCGATATCGACCAGTTAAACGCGCTCAAAGCGCGTTTTGTTGAGGAAAAGAAGAAGTTTAGGAACATGGTCGAATGGGATGCAAAGATTTTTTGCGACGCTGCGGAGGATAGCAAACATCCATTACGAGTCATCAACTGGGCCTTGCTGAATCAGCCGAATCAAGACGAGATCAACGAAGATGCTGTGAAGTGTGCGATCCAGCGATGTCGCCAACAGATTAACATTCCTATGGGTGAGGGGATCCGTTACGTTCCGGCAGTCAAGGTGCTGAAACACCTGGTGAAGTGTGGCTTTCCCGTGACTTGCCAGGCGCTTCACACGGCGTGTGCTTTTGGAGAGTTGGATTGCGTCAAGTATCTGAGAGAGAACGTCCGATGCTGCAACTTTAGCAAGTGGGATATCGAATTCATGATGCCAAATGGAGAACCCAACAATCTATTTGCGATCGCGGCTCAAGAGGGCCATGTGGATGTTCTGCAGTACTTGTACGACAATGACTGCGATTTCTCCACCCAGGACTTGCAAGGTGCTATGCATTTGGCGAAGACTCGCAAGCCGAAGCGCGCCAAGGGATTCGCCCAAGTAAAGGCGTATCTCGAATCTTTACCAGAATGGGCAGATATGTTACGGGATATGGAATGTGTGGTCATCGATTAGAATTTAGAGGTACAAAATGAAGTGATACGCGGAAAACAAAATTGATCAGCGATGAGCAGCCCATTGTTAACAAGCGTTTGTCGGCTCGAGGCGAGTCTCGTAGTCGCGAACGAGCTGCGTGTCTCGACGCCATCGATCGCCGCGCGCGCGATTAACGCATCATTAGCATGCGATCTGACTTTCGTGAGCGCGGACAGGATGGAATATACGTGCGCGGTGATGATATCTCTCCCACTGCGAGCAGAGAGTTCAGTATCGCGCCTGAGCTTGAACCTGAGCTGAAGGATTTCATTGACGAAGAGATGTTCAGACTCTGTGAAATGGATACTGATGATGACGTAAGGTCGAGAATAAACGCCGTCAACGCAAGCGATGACTCGACGGCGTTAGATTTGCATTGGATGCTCGACACGACAAACACGGACGCCTTGCTCGCCAAGCACGCGTACACTGATTTTTCAGACCTGTTTTCTTTACCCATCTCAGCTGCCGCTGGAGCACGAAGGCTTGAACGGCCGAAAAAAGTCGCGGTTGTGGAGAAGAGGAATGTTCGGAGCACGAGCTCGATGCGAGGCGTCACGCACCATTGTCGAACGGGAAAGTACGAGGCTCATATTTGGGAAAGTGGCAAGCAAGTGTATCTCGGAGGATTTGATTCTGAGGAGCAAGCCGCGCTCGCGTATGATGTCATAGCCGTGAAATGCCGAGGGATAAAGGCGCAGACGAACTTCGACATGCGAAATTACGCACAGGAGCTGGCCAACTTGGATGGGATCGAGAAGGACGATCTCGTGTTATCTCTTAGACGGCAGTCCAAGGGGCACGCAAAGGGAAGTTCAAAGTTCAGAGGCGTGACAAAACATGCGAAGGGTAAGTTTGAGGCTCGAATCGGCCAAATGGTAGGAAAAAAGTACAGGTACCTGGGTCTATTTGACACCGAAAGCGAAGCCGCTGTTGCGTACGATATCGCGTGCGTGCGTGAAAAAGGATTGCAAGCCGTCACAAACTTTGATATTTCGGAATATTCAGACGTGTTGGCCCAACACTACAACGGCGGCACGACGAGTTCGAAGAGAAAGCGCCATTACTCTGCAAGTGCAACGCCTGTCGAGTCGAAAATATGTGAGAAGAATTTTCGAGACGAGCTCGCGGGCACGCATATCGATATATCTTCGAGAGCCTTAAAGCCGGGACGTGCGATTGAGCGCGATCCAAGCGACAAAGCCGTCGATCTTGTGAGACATTTTTTCGATACAGAGTCGAAACATCACGCGAACACTGCGATAGAGTGCCGACCAGACTCCGAACTCGAGGACAGAGAACACGCGGATGATGCGATTGAGGAACTTCAGGCTCTCGTATCGCAAGCACAGACCGCGCTCCGAGATAGCAAGGCGCGTCTCCGCGAGGCTCGTGCGCAACGAAAATCGTAGGGTTGAAGTTTTAGTGAGAGATGATATTAATTATCGGGCCGAATGCGCGACAAATAAATATGTTTCTTACTTCTTGCCACCGGCCAAACGCGCGAACGTACCAAACGTCACCGCTTGCACAACGAGAAGCGGAGAGAAGAGAACCGCCATGACGAGACCCAGATTGAGGCCTTCAGAAGAGCCCGAACTCGACTTCGCGGCCGCCTCCTTCTTCGGCGCCTCAGCCTTCGGAGCCGCATCCTTCTTGGAGCCGAAGGACGGCACGCTGAAGGACGGCAAGGACGGTGCGCTGAATGACGGCAAAGACGGCGCACTCGCGGACGGAGCCGCGAACGACTTGGCCGGTTTGGCTGGCTTGGTGTTGAGCTTGGCTTGCTGCGCGGCGAAGAGGTCACCGGCGAGGTCCTTCGAGTTGCCCGCGACTTGGGTCACCTCAACCGCGGCGTTCGCCATCGGCGTTGCCGCGATCGTCATCGCGAGCACGGCGGCGCACGCTTGCTCCTTGGCGTTCGCGCGCACGACGGTGTTCGATCGGCGTGCTTCGGCGGCGCGCGGCGCCACCGTCGTCGTTTGCACGGAAGAAACTCGAGCGATCATGATGGCTCGTGGAGGGGACGTGTTAAACTACGCCTCGAGCGTCGTGAAGGGAGTGTTTGTCGTCGTTCGGATGAAACGAACGTACGGCTGAATCGATCGAGAGAGCGATCGACGAACGACGTGCGAGGCGCGCGCGGATATGCCGAACCGGCGGACGTTCGATCGGTCTCCAGGGCTGACTCGATCCGTTGCGGATAGGCTTCATCTTCGTATGGGCGAACAGTTATGACCGATCGCGTCTCTTTGAAAAGGTGTATCCCCACCCTACAACCCTGGTCTGCCATGTCCGCGCGCGCGCGCGACGGGCGTACCGACGAGCCCGTCCTCGACGTCGACGAGTCTGATGTGAAGCACACGTGCCACTTGACGCAAATAGTCGACTTGAGCGCGAATATCTCTACTGGGCGCGCGTGGGAGGTATTCCGGTCGATTCTGCGGAGGACGCGGGTGTTCACTCACGCGTAACGCCCGAAGACGCGGAGAAGGCCAAGAGACGAGAGGTGCATCGTCGATTTCGGCGCAGAAAGGCAGTGAACGACTTCTTTGAGCATGCGAAAATGATCTTGTTTCCATTTTCGGCGCATTTTCGGCGTGATCGACGGTATTAGTGCGCCAAACGACGCAGTGGCCGTCCTCACCCGAACTCACAAACCGCGAGCCTGCCGGTGAAAACTTTCCATCGAGGACCCCGTGTTCGCCGTGCGCTCGAAGAGTATAGCACATGGAACCCGTTCTTAGGTCCCAAAACTTGATCGATCCATCGTCCGACGTGGAGGACGCGTAAACGCCGCCTGGGTGAAAGTCCAAAGATCGGACGCTCGCGTCGTGAGCGGCGTCGATTTCGAGACTCATTCGGCCGCTCCTAGTGTCCCAAAACCGTATCGACTGCGATCCTCCGGCGCTCGCGAGAACGTTTCCTTGCGGATGGAATCGAGCGACATAGACCTCGCCGCCCCCCTCACCGAACACACGCACGCATTTCACGCGTTCGAGATCCCACAACCTCGTCGTCCTGTCGTCGCTCGCACTGCACGCCACGGCAAGGTCGCTCGCCACGCACACGTCCCGGATCCAGTTCGTGTGTCCGACGAACGTCGCTTGATAGCGCAAAGAAATACCAGCGTTGTCTCCATCCTCGCCCTCGCTCGTTCGCGTCAGCGCGTGAAGCTTCATCGTCTTGTCGTCTGACCCGGTCAACGCCGCCTCGCCGGTTCTGAGAATGGCAACCGCGCGCACGGTCCCCGCGTGTGCCCTCGTTATCGCCGGTCTCGACGCTTTCCTGCGCGAAAGAATTCTTGAGAGAATTGAATCAATAACTGTTATCCTCAACGCACCTCGTTCGCCGATCGATCGTCCAGAACATCGCTCTTCTGTCGCGTCCTCCGCTCGCGACGACGTCCGCGGCGCTCGCGCACGTCTCCGCGCATCCTTCATGTGCGCCCAAAATCGTCGTCCGCGCGTCGACCCGCCGTCGTCCGCTCGACACATCATCATCATCCGCGTTCGTCTCCCTCTTCGGCGCTCGCCACGTCCGCACGCTCCCATCGCTCGACGTCGTCAACACCTCGGAAGAGGAATCGTCACATTCATCATCGACGCCGACGAACGCGCACGACGTCGCGCCCACGCCGTTCGCGTCGCCTCGTCGCGACGCGGTGAATCGCCACCGCGCTCTCGGTTCGTTCACCTCCGAGCGCGTCTCCCGTCCCTCGCGCACCGCGCGCGGCATCGACGACGCCGTGCCGCACCGCGCGCGTCGACGTGCGGGCGACCGCGGCGAACGGGACGATCACCGATCGAGGACGAAGGACAAAAAGGACGATCACCGATCGAGGACGAAGGACAAAAAGGACGATCACCGATCGAGGACGAAGGACAAAAAGGACGATCACCGATCGAGGACGAAGTTTTTTTTAGGACGATTTCCGATCGAGGACGAAGGACAAAAAGGACGATCACCGATCGAGGACGAAGGACAAAAAGGACGATCACCGATCGAGGACGAAGGAAACCCACCGATCGAGGACGAAGGACAATCACCGATGAAAAAATCACCGACGACGACCCGGGGGTGCGTTTTTTAAACAAGACATCGTCGTCGTCGTCGTCGTCGTCGTCGTCGTCGTCGTCGAGCGGGAGACGCGGGCGAGGACGCGCGCGCGAGCGTGGGTGAGGAAATCGGCGCGGATGTCCACGAACGGTGGTGACGCGGAGACGCGAGAGACGCTGCGTCTGTTACAGGCGCAGATCAGGGCGCAGGCGAGAGAAATCGCGAGGCTCCAGCGAGAGGTTGTGGAGTGCCATCGCGAGCGAGACGTGCTCGCTGGGAAGGTTTTGAAGCCCCTGAATGAGCGTTTTAAGGATAACGTGCGAGATTTAATCAAAGACACGACGTGGTTCAAACTGAACTCGGTGGAGGAGACGATCGAGGTGAACACGTACGAGAGCACGACGGAGGCGGAGTTTGAATTGGCGGGCGCGGCGTCAAAGATGGAGGCAAAATTCCCAGACCTAAAGGCGGCGAAGATCACGACCAGGGAGGACATCGGATGCGTTGGGTTCGAACTGAAATCTCGCCCGTTCATGGGGGAGCTGATGCAGGTCAAGGCGCGGGTGCACCTGGAAAAGCTGCTCGGTATCGCCAAGGCGCCGACGCTGGCGCTCAGGCCGACGCCTCCATTTCCTTGGGGACGGAAGACGAAGTGGAACCCGGCGTTAGAATCCGCCGTGGACATCGATGGCGTCGCGATCAACGCCAAGTACACCATGGTGAACGAATCGGTTTCGGTGGATCATCTCGATTTCGACGTGAGTACGACGCACGAAGAACACGGAAGGCTCTCGGTGGAGCGCATCAGTCGACACACCGTGGAGGAAGAGGAACTCGATATCGACGGCGATAACGGATGCTGGCGCCTGGGATGGGCTCAGCGCAAGGGTGAATACGATTTAGCGGCCAAGCTGACGACCGATAAGGGTATGGAGTTGGAGGTGAGCGCGCGAAGACACTTCGCCAAACATTTTAACGGCGCCGCGCTCGGACGCGTCGGAACCCAGAAACGCGAGCTGGAGTTTCAGGTTGGCTACGAATTCACGGAGGAGCTCAAGGGATGGGAAGTAGTCGCGAGATCCGTGCTCACGCCGAATGGGTTGCAGAATCCAACGTTTCGACTTAACCACGCTTGGGAGTTTTAATGTTTGCTGCGTGCATGATACTCAATACAATACGTACACGCGCGCGACACCTTTAAGACGACCCGGGCACGCCTTGGGTGAATCCCTTCCCTCGTCCTCGACCACCACCACTACTTCGGCCACTTCGCCCCCCTTGTCCACGGCCGCCGCGGCCGCCGCGGCCGCCGCGGCCGTCGATCCGTCCCGCCGCCTCGGGCGCCGGCGTGAACTTCTTTGATTTCTTCTGTCCAGGCTTCCATTCACCACCGTAGAACTCCGTTTTCTTGTGCGGAGCTTTGTTCGATGAAGTGCCGCTTCCACGTTCGGTGGCGACGTATTCCTCCTCTTCTTCTTCACCCTCCTCCCATTCATCTTCTAACGCGTCGGCGCCGTCTGGAGAATCGAGCGCCATGGCGTAAATCTCCCTAGCAATTTCGGTGACACCTGCACCCGTGGACGTGGATGCCATGAGTACGAGAGTGCGCGCGCGCTTTGTATACCTCAGTTCTTCCTGAATCAAATATGCTCGGCGAGCGAGATCGTTCGGGTTGACGCAATCGCACTTGTTCAAAATCACGGCGCATTGCGTCTCGCCGTACTTGGACAGAAAGGCCAACATTTCTCTGTCCGACGCTTTGAGCCCATGTCGAGCATCGACGACAATGTACACGCGCTTCAAGTTTGGGCGCGAGGTAAGGTATCGATCCATGAGCTCGTTCCACGTCTCCACTCGCGCTTGCTTTGCGAACGCAAAGCCGTACCCTGGCAAATCGACGAGACGAATGCGTTCACCGAGCGAGTAGAAATTCAAGCTCTGCGTTTTTCCTGGCACGTCGCTCGACCGTGCGACAGAGCTGAGCGTCAGAGCGTTGATTAAAGAGCTCTTCCCGACGTTTGAACGGCCCGCGAACGCGATCTCTGGGACGTCGTCCTTAATTTTGCTCGCGCCCTTGCCCACCGCGTGCGCCGGCGGTTCCTCGCCTTCTCGCGACGCCGCGGCGATGAATTTGGTGTTACGCTTCGCGTCACTCAGACCGAGCAATCGACGCGTGCGTGTGTCTAAATTAGCGACGTCGTACATGACGTATCGCGCCGTCACGTTGCTGATCTCCTCTCTGTTACGCAGTACTCGCGTCGTTCGTCCCGCCGTGGACGCCGTCGTGGTCAAGCCGTACTTTTTAATCCTTCCCATGATCGCTCCATCGATCGGCAGCGCGCGAAACTTCGCTCGGTTGCTCATCTCTCCGTTCTCATCACCCGATAACGTGTCCAGCAATCTTTCGATCCTCAAACCACCCTCTGGAATGGTCGACCGCAGCGGCGGCTCGTCCCGAATCGTCGTCTCCTCTCCCCCCCGGTCTCGTCTCCCTCCGCCTTCCCCACCTCGCCCCTCCTCGACATCCCTCGATCGCGCGCGCGCGTCATCGTGAACATCATCTTCATCCACACCTCGCGCTCGCGTCGAACCGCATCGTCGCGTCGTCGTCGTCAGCGTCTTCGCACCCCATCGCGCGCGTCCGCCGCCGCCGCTCGACGTTTTCGTCCGCGTCGACGCCCCCCTCGCGCGCGACGCGCGTGCGCACGTGGAGACGATGGCGACGCGCATGCGAACGCGCGCGCACCGCGGACGTCCGTGCGCGCGCGCGACGTACCGCGCGTCGCGCACTCGGGACCGCGTTCGCATCGCCCGGCGTGGACGACTCCCCGCATTTCAACGCGCGCGCGACGACGACGACGACGACGACGACGACGACGACGACGACGGGCGCGAGGACGACGACGACGGGCGCGATGCGTCACGCGCGCGTCGGGCGCGGTGGCGCGTCCACGTCGGCGTCGAGGACGTCGTCGATGCGGCGACGAACGACGACGAGGCGCGCGACGACGACGACGCGTGCGTCGACGGTGCGCGCGCGCGCGAACGCGGACGAGGACGCGGTGGAGATGGATGATTTCGACGCGCGGCGCGTGCGCGCGTTCGCGGCGCGGGCGAGGGGACTGCGAGCGAAAGTGTTGAAGGAACTTTTAGCGCGCGCGGGGGCGCGGAGCGACGATTGCTTGGAGAAGGAAGAGTTGGTGCGCAGGGTGACGGAGACGTGGATCGACACGGAGAACGACGCGATCACGACGCGGCTTCGGCAGCTGGGTAACATTGGGGGGAATCCGCGAGCGGGGTACGCGTTGGTGACTCTCGACGTCGGCGGAGAAATAGGCCTGTGCGACTTTGTCATCGACACGGGAGCGACGACCGCGCTGATCACTCCAAAGGCGCTGGAGATGCTCGACAAAGAGAACGTCACTGAGGGCGCCGCGGTGCGGGGACTCACGGGAACCGGCGAAACTCTTCGACAAAAAGTGAGCGTCTCCGACGTTCGACTCGGGAGCAAGCTCTTCGTCCTCGACGCCGTCGTCACCGATCTCTCCGCCGTGGGGTTGCCACCTCAGATAGGTGGGCTTCTCGGTTTGGACTTTTTGAGCAAGTTTGAGATTGAGTTCAATTTTACTGACTCCGCGCTAAAATTTTGGCCGAAAGGCTCCATCGCGAACGGCGCGGTCGACACGGATGATTTGGTAAAAATTCCTCTTCATCTCCACCCGGTGGGCTTGCGCACCGTGAAGTGTTCACTGAACAATTCAGCACCGTTCGATGCCATCGTGGATATGGGATCGTTCTTTTCCGTCGCGAATTGGATGGCGAGCACGACCGCCGGCATCGGACCGGACTCGCCGGAAGTTAAGCGGGGCGGTTTGCAGGTATCGGGCGTCGATGGCGGTTCGATGCAAATGGCCATGGCCCCGTTTGATCTGCGCGTGATCGGCGAGGCGGAGGACCTGTCGTCAACGTATCGTGGGATGTGCTGCGTCGGTGACTTGCCCGCGTTCAACGCGCTCGGAGCGAGCGTATCACCTATGATGGCGCTCGGTCTCGACGTCATCGGACGCGGACGCATGGTGTTCAACGCGAGTGACAACTGCATGTACCTGTCGAGCGGGGACGAGACGTACGGGGTATAGCATTTTAAAATTTATACGTAGCGACGATTTAAAAGCGTTTGAACACGCATCGACCGATTACATCGCGACCCGCCGAGCCTTCCGACTGGGCGCCAGTCGCCGCACTCTTCGCCGAGCGCGGAGAGTCATGCGCGTCGACAATTACGCCTTCGACGCCTCTGGGAAGGTCGTCGTCGTGACGGGTGGTAATCGAGGAATCGGAGCCGGCATCGTCGACGCCTTCGTCGCCAAACATCGCGCGCGTCGCGTGTACGTCGTCTCTCGGTCGACCGAGGTTGGAGACATATCGACGCGTTACGGCGCCGCACCGGGCTCGGTGATAGGCATCGCGTGCGATTTATCGGAGCAACGCGGGGTTGACGTCGTGAAATCAGCGATCGATGCTCGAGGGGACGGCGTGCACGTTCTGGTGTGTAACAGCGGCGCGAGCTGGGGCGCGGAGTTAGAGACGCACGACGAAGCGGCGTGGATGAAAACACATAAACTGAACGTCGTGGGCACGTTTCTGCTCGTCAGAGCGCTTCTTCCTATGCTTGAACGCGCATCATCGCGAACCGATCCCGCGAGAGTGATCGTGATCGGTTCCATCGCCGGCGTTGCGCCTCAAAGGTATCCAACATTTAGTTACGACGCGAGCAAGGCTGCTCTGCACCATCTCGCTCGCAAACTCGCCGACGAGCTCGCGGCTAGGCGCAAATTAGCGATCACGGTGAACGTCGTCGCACCGGGGTACGTGCCGACGAAGATGAGCAAGGGCTTGGAAAAGTGGGACGGCGAGTCTGGCGACGACATCGTCGCTCGCGGCGTCCCGTTGGCGCGCGCGGGCAGTCCCGACGACGTCGCCGGCGCCGTCGCGTTTTTAGCGTCTTCCGCGTCGAGTTGGATCACGGGCGTCGTTCTTCCCGTCGATGGTGGGTTCTTAGCCAAGCTCTGAGCCTCGACGAGACGCGACGCGCGTTTTTAGCGACCGCGCGCGTCTTCGACCCGCGATAGTCCTCGTACTCGTAGTTTCTAGCCAGAAAGCGCCGCACCAGATCGTGTGCGAGTAGTCAGTCTTTCCTTCCCTACGCACGCGTCGCGCGATCGAGCCCGAGGCGTCGCCCGCGCGTCGGAAGTTCGCGTCCTTCATGAACCACCAAAGCGCTGGAAAATCCCCACACGACACACAGAACAACCGTCGGGATGGCATCGATGACGGATTTTCCGATGTGGATTTTCCATCGTCGTGAAATATCATTTTGATCGGTTATGACTCGTGAGAGAGTCCCTTGATTCGCTCCACATCCAACCGCCGACGCCGCACCGCGACGCGCACGCATCGTCGAGCGAACGCGCTCGTTCGCGCGCGCGCTCGCTCGACGCTCGCGCATCGTTCGTCTTCGTCGTTCATCGCGCGCGCTCGCGCGAAGGGCTCGATCGACGACGCGCGCTCGACCGACGCATTCGCGCACGGCGGACGGAGGCTGAGATACGCTTTTTGCACACGCGCGCCATCGTGCGTGAGAACGCACGTTCGGAGACGCGTCCCGACCGAGCGATCGACGCGACGTCGAGAAAAGGAACGATTCGATCGCGTGGGATGCCGGGCGGGTCGAAATCGGCGCGAGGCGTCGCCAAGCCCGAGGAAGATGGTGACGCGGACAAGGAGGAGGAGACGCTGGAAAAGTTAGAGGCGAGAGTGAAGGACGAGAAGGACGAGGCTCTGATGGCGGAGCTCCTGGCGATGGAAAAGATAGCGTTCGATCCCACGAATACTCTGCTCAACCGAGGACAGTTCAACGAGCTGCTAGATTTACAAACGGAGACCGAGCCCGACTTCATGCAAGAGATCGTGGACATGTACTGCGACGACTCGCACACCATGCTTGATGAGTTGAAAGGGATTCTCACCGAAGCGGAGAAACGGACGACATCTGGATACGACGCCGCGCGCGCGACGTTGCACAAGCTTCGCGGTGCGTCGTCGACGCTCGGAGCGGAGGGAATCCAAAACGTGTGCGAGTCTATCCGAGAAGCCATCGTGAGCGAATCCGTTGACGCCATGGTCAAGGGACCAGGATCACTGGAGGAGCTAGAAAATCGTTTGAACGAATTGAAGACGTTTCTCAAGAAATACGTCTGCGTAGCGCGGGAGTGCACGGTACGAAAGCTCGCGCGCTAATCTGTAATCAATCAACACTAGAGTTAGATTTCTACCACCCATCGTTACCACCGTTTCCGCTGTCCTTGAGGACGAGGAAAACCTCCTGCGAACCCGTCTCCACTTCCTCGACCCGACCAACCCCCACCGATACCTCGTTCAGCTCCGCCACCGCCCTGCCAATTGGTTCCAGTGTTCGTCTGACGTCGGTTATTATTGCCACCGTACTTTGCGGCATATCCTCGAGAAGCCGCCGCACCGCCGCCTCGTCCACCCGCTCGTCCACCGCCAGGACCACGCCAAGTACCGACCGATCCCATGTGGAACGTTTGTGGCGCGTGCGATAAATTCCCTGATGGGCGGGCGTTGTCACCATCGTCTTTTTTCGGGCATTCTCGCGCAATGTGACCGCGCTCGCCGCAATGGAAGCACGAAAACTCTGGCGCGGACCCACCGCCGAAGCCGCGTCTGGCGTGCGCGCAAGCGAGATCGAGATGACCATTACCACCGCATCGACAGCACGTCGGGACACCCGGTGGTAACGCGTCTTGCGGCGCGCAACACAGGTGCCCGATTGAGCCGCACACGTAGCAGTGAATCTGCGCCAAATCATTCGCGTCAAACCTGTAGACGCAATCCGCGACGACGTGCCCGGACTTTCCGCATCTGAGACAACATAAAGCCTGCGCGTCGCGTCCAGATCCGCGGACGTACGGACAATCTCTGCTCTGATGTCCAGGCGTCAGACAGTTGTAGCACAAACCGTGCGGACAGTCCCGTGCGACGTGCGACTTGTACCCGCAAAGGTGGCACGGCTTTTTCTTCGCTGGGAGCTCGCACTCGGCCTCGCGATGCCCCCCCTGACCGCAACGAAAGCACCGCAGCGCCGCGGCCTCGTAATCGTCGTCGAAATATCGTGGCTGTCGCAGAATATTTCGCACCTCTTCGTTCTCCTGGTCGTCTCGCGGCGTCTCGTCGTCGCTCGACGACGACGACGACGACGCGCGCGCGGTTCCCTCCGCCCCCCCCGCCTCCACCGCGGGTCGCATCATCGTCGTCGTCATCATCGCCTCCGTCGCGCGCTCGCCCTCGATCTCGCCGTCTTCCACCGTTTCCCCCGTCTCGTCCTCCGCCGCCGCCTCGGCGTCCCGTCTCTTCGTCCTCCGTCGTCTCTTCGTCCTCCGTCCTCCCTCGTCCTCGCTCGAGCCCTCGCGCGCGGTCTCCACGATCGCCTCGCGTCGCCTCCCGTCCATTTCCCGCGACGCCGTCGCCCGTGCGCGTCGTCGCTCTGCGTCCATCACACGAGCGTTCGCGTCGCCTCTCTCCCGCGCCTCCGTCCCCTCCGTCGTCGTCGCCCGCGTCGTCTCGCGCGTCGTCGTCGTCGCCGATCGCCCTCGCTTCGCCCCCATCGCGACGACTTCGCCGTCGTCGTCGTCCACGGCGCGAAGTGCGCGACATCGATCGTCCGTCACACGTCGGCGTCGCCATGGCGAGCGACCGCGCGCTTCGACGGGGCGTCTTGCGATGGGACTACTTCGTCCTTCGACGCGGCGCGCGCGACGACGCGCTCGTCGAGCAGAGCGTGCGCGAGCGCGAGACGACGACGGCGCGCGGGCCACGGCGCGGGCGCGCGGGGGCGAGCTCGAGCGCCGCCGCGGACGCTCGGGAGACGAAGGATGGGGGCTCGGACGTCGACGACGGACGATGGATCGAACGCGCGCGGGCGAGAACGGTGCCGATGACGTTTCGAAGCGCGCGAGAGTACGCGGAGACGTTCGAGCCGCTGTTGTTCGCGGAGTGCGCGGCGATCGCGCGCAGGGGAGAAGACGTCGAGCGAGAGGAGCGACGGGGCGGAGGTAGGTCCAGGGCGGCGCGGGTGAAGACGACGACGAGATCGGATGAGTTCCATCTCGTGACGTTTGAACTGAGCGAGGCGGACGCGATGGAGTTTTACGACGACGATCTCGTGTTCGTGAGCAAGGCGGATGCGGGAGACGCGAGCGAGGCGGAGCTGAAAAAGTGCGAGGAGCGGGCGGGAGAGACGCACGCGCTGGGAATAGTGGACGGAAGAGATGCAAAAACGTGCGTGCGCGTGCGCATGTATCTTCCGGATGCATCGAGCGGAGATTCGCGCTCGACACAGGGCGAGACGAAACTGGACGCCTCGGCGGCGCTCGCGGAGCGAGACGCCAAGCGATTTCGCTCCACGAGAAACGCGCTCATGTCGTCGAAGCACGACGAGACGTGGTACCTGAAAAATATCGCGGCTCTCTCTACGATTACTCGAGAGTGGCGAGCGGTTCACGAGTTGTCTTCGCTGCCGTACGCGTCGACGATTCTGAAGGGCGCGCCGGCGGCTGAGGCGGGCGCGCCGGCGGCGGCAAACGCGTGGGCGATTTCTGACGCGTTACGAAACGTCATGGAACACGCGTACAACGAATCGCAAGTCAAAGCGATGTCCACGGCGCTGAGTCAAGACCCTTTCGTGTTGATTCAGGGGCCACCGGGGACGGGGAAGACGCGCACCATCTTGTCGTTGCTCTCCGTGTTGCTCCACTCGGTTCCGAGCACGTCGTCGAGGAATACGGTTGATTTCGCATCGTACGCCGAAATTCGAGAAGCGCGTGAGAAAATGTCATCGGAACAAACACGTCGTGCGTGGAGGCTTGCGTCGCCTTGGTTGAACGGCGTCGAGAATCCGCGCGATGCGCCGCCGACGATCTCCCTCGCGAGCGGCGGCGAGGGCGTCGCCAAGCCGCCGAGCAAGCGGAAAGTCATCGCGCAATCACTGGGTACGCACACGTACAAGCGCTCGAAAATTCTCATCTGTGCACCGTCTAATAGCGCTCTGGATGAGATCGTTTTGCGCATCATGCGAAACGGACTCGTCGACGGCGCCGGCGCGACGTATTCTCCGACAATTGTGCGCGTCGGCGTAAACGTGCATCACTCAGTGAAACAAGTGCACATGGATACGCTCATTTCTCAGCGATTGGGCGAACTTGGCGCTCACCTCGATTCGGTGAGACGCTTCGAGGCGGCGATCGAGCGTGATAGGCTAAAACAGGCGATTTTAGAAGAGGCAAGCGTTGTGTGCAGCACGCTCTCGTTTAGCGGCTCGGGGATGTTTTCGAGAATGAGTAAAACGTTCGACGCCGTCATCATCGACGAAGCCGCGCAAGCGGTCGAGCCCTCTACGCTCATACCGCTCTGTTCCGGCGCCAAGCAAGTGTTCCTCGTTGGAGATCCGCGACAACTACCAGCGACGGTGTTGAACTCCATAGCGATCGATCACGGTTACGACACGTCCATGTTCAAGCGTTTCCAGAGCTGTGGCTATCCAGTGCACGTGCTGAAAACGCAGTACAGGATGCATCCCTCAATCCGAGTCTTTCCATCCATGTTGTTCTACGACAACGAGCTCATCGATGGTCCTGGTTTAGACAAGTTGACGACGCGACGGTGGCACAAACACTCCGTGTTCCGCCCGTTTGTGTTTTTTGACGTCAAAGGCAAAGAACGAGCCTCCGCGGGCCACTCATGGGTGAACGATGAAGAGTCAGAGTTCATCGTTGCACTCGTTCAAACGTTGTTCGCGCGATTCCCCGAGCTCATCGCGGGCGAACATGTGGCGGTGATTTCTCCGTACAAGGCGCAGGTGAGGAACATTCGACGGTTGATCAAGGAAAAGCTTGGCGCGAAAAAGGCTCTTAGAGTCGACGTGAACACTATCGACGGCTTTCAAGGTCACGAGAAAGATATCTGCATCTTCTCCGTCGTGCGTGCGCCGAAACGCGGGGCTGGATCTAGTGGAGGTGGATTGGGGTTCGTCGCCGACGAACGACGCATCAACGTCGGTTTGACGAGAGCGCGCTCCAGTCTCTTCGTCGTCGGCGCCGCGGAGAGTATCAAGGGGGATGATAGATGGGGTAGTCTAGTGGAAAGCGCACGCCGACGCAATTGTGCGTTGACGCCGTCGAAGCCTTATCGAGACTTTCTGAATAAGCATAGCGCGGTTGGCGGCGCCACCGAGACGTTTGATGACGAAGAAGTCGACGCAGCGAGCAAGCTGGGAGAGGCAGCTTCGGTCGTCGCGGAAGAGGGTGCGGATGAAAATATGCTTCGAACGCACATTTGGGATGAAAACCACGTACACGACCCGCACTGGAGCGGTGCGGCTGAGTTTATTCGCTCGAACGACCTCGTTAGTGGCGACGGCGGCTTCTCAAAAGATGGCTTTCGCGACGAACTCATCGTCGAAAATACGAAGAAGGGCGAAGCCGTCGGCGGTGACGATGATATGTTAATGGACGTCGAGGATGGAGATGACGCGAATCGCGACGAGTTCACTGAAGCAGTGGAGGAGCCCGCGAAAAAGAAGCCCACACGAAGGTCGACGCGAGCGTAAACGACGATTTGTAATGGAATCGAACCAACGTAGCTGATTTACAACGCGACGACGCATCGCACGCAATCTATGGGTTGTCGTGCGCACTCGCCGTCTCCTTCTTCGCCGGCGATGATGCGATCGAAAAACTCGGTGAAGAATAGGTGAGACTATCTGGATGGAGGACGAGCTTTGCGAGTTCGTCCCGTTTCGACGCTTGACGCGCGGAAGCAAAGCTATTGATAAAGAAACCGACCAACCCGACGGCAGCGCCGAAATATACTAAAGCACGCGAGGTGTCGATGTTGCGCGTCGCGTTGCTCTGTCGCCGAACAACGGACTGTAGTACCTTTGTCGCTGGCACTCGCGCGCTCTCTTCGATGTCCATCTCCTCGCTCTCTTCCTCGCCGATGAACACTTCCTGTTCTCGGCGCATCCGTTCGTCTTCGACCAATCCAACGGTTGCTACATCTTCTTCGTTGTCTCCATTTTTCACAACGCTGGAACTTACGATGTTCGCACCAGACGCGTTTGCGCCAACTTCGCTTTCCAACGGTTTCACCACGACGTCCTTGCTCACCAATCCAGCCTTCACCAGCGCCTCGACGTCGATCGAGTTAGCAACATCCGCGGCGACCTTTGTCGATAACACCATGTGCACATTCCGCCCGCATTTGGCGTGCGCGACATCGAACGTCAAACACGCGTCGCGCGCTCGCTTGAACCGCCTGGAGACTTCCTGCGCGGCCCCGCGCGGGACGGCTTCACGCACGTGCGCGCACCAACGAGCATCCCCGCTCTTAATACGCTCGTCATCACCCTCGCCCCACCGTCTCCACGCCGCATCGACGGGCACGACGAGATCCGTGAGAGGTTTCGTCGCCTCTGCGCTCGTCGCGTCTTCGACCAACACCAACGCCCTCGAAGCTTCACGCGCGATCGCCGCGTAGCATCGCAGTGTTTTCACGTCGCGTTCGAGCGAACCGCTCGAGGATACACGCGCGTACAGCACCGGCGGCTCGCTCGTCGACGTCGACGCCGCGCGTACGGCGTTCGTTCGAGCGCGGGCAGAGTCATCGATGGTGTTGGCGGTGTTCTGGTCGTCTCTATCGACGCGTCTGGCGCCGTCGACGGGCGCGCACGTCCCCGCGCGCATCACCGCACACATCGCGATCGCGCGCGCCGAGCGCGATCGACGTCGCGACATATCGATCGACGACGACGCGTGCGGCGTCGGCCCCCACCGAGACCGCGCGCGGTGACCCCTTTGGTCGTCCCCGCGCTCGGTGGGGATTTCGACGCATCGCTCGGGCGTTTTTTACTTTTTACGCGTGCGTTACACCTGCACCCGCCGCATGCTGGACGTCAACGGACTCGCCCGCGCGCTCGACGGCGTGCGCCATCTCGTGGTGCGACGCGATGCGCGGTCTGGAGACCCGTCGTCGTCCGCGAACGATGGGTCGAGCGACGGGGAGGAGGATAACGTCGGACGCATCGAATCCGTGCTCGCTGGTAACGACCAAGGATGGCACTTACGAGTTAATCGCGTCGAAAGAGGGAAACTCAGGGCGTCGTACGCCGTCGCGCACGCTCGTGGTGTGCCCGTGCGTGCGCAGCCGCACATCGACAGTGCCGTCTTGCGTTACTTTCGACGCGGGGAAGTCGTCGTCGGCGTGTCGCTGACGTCGGACGGTTGGCTCGAGCTCGCGGGAGAGGACGCGAGCGGGGCGAACGTCGAAGGAAGCGCTGGATGGATGCTGACAGAACACAGAGAACACGGGATTTTGCTGAAACGCGTCGGTGGGATCGAATTGCCCAGAACGACGATGCGCCTCGCGGCGGCGGAGGCGGTACTAAGCGTCGATCATACTCACCTACCGCTGCAACGTGGCGCGCACACGTTTCGAGTGACGCACTCTCCGTTCGTCGCGGTTCGAGCTGCACCATCTATGTCATCGAGCATAATAGGACATAAAACGGAGAGTCAGCTCGTCGTCGCGAACGCGCGGCGAGGAGATTGGATCCGGTGTGTCGATTCAGACAACGGACCGCGAGCAAAAGATTGTTCAACTGTTCACGAACGGTGGATGCTCACCGTCCATCCAGAGATTGGTAGATTACTCAGGCGCTGTAACGCGGACGGAAGCGATGCGATCGACTCAGTGGAATGATTCGACTGTATTATTCACCAATGCGGCGCGCGCGTACGAGACGAGAACAGACAGCAAAGACGACGACACAACGCGACGCGCCCAAAAGTATGAACCTTAGTGACAATGCACGCGTACTGTTGATGAAGACAACCAAGGTTTCCGAGCTAGAGCGCGAACGAACCGCTCGACGCAAGGTTTTAACGCTCGAGCACAATGACACGTTAGGCTCGGCGCTCGAAACACTCAAGAAACATAACATTCTTTCAGCGCCGGTCGTGATCACCGCCGACGCCTTGGACACGCATTTACCGGATGTCGACACAAACGATGCGCCACTGGACACGCTCGTTGGATTCTTCGACGTTCGAGACGCTGTTGCTGCGCTCATGGGTGCAGTGAGCTCTTCGCCTGAGGTTGACGAGAATCATGAGCACTCCATGTTGTTCTGGATGCGAGCGATCGAGCGGGTCGAGAAAGAGATCGTGGACACCCCTTTAATCAAGATTGTTGGTTACGACTCCGAATTAATGTACACTCCGAACGCAAGCGCGACGTCTGTGTACGATTTGATTGTGCAAGGCTTTTTTGGCGGCGGCGAGCGATCGATAGTTCACCGCGTCGTTCTCTTCGAGGCGAACGGTTCACTTTCGCGGATGGTGAGTCAAACGGACGTTGTAGAGTGGTTGGCAGTTCACGACTGTAAGTTACCGCACTCACTGGAGACGAGAACAATTCGAGAGCTCGGATTTGGCTCTGATCGACGACGAGCAGATTTCGTGCAAGTTGACGCGAGGGCGCCGACGATTGAATGCTTTCGAACGCTAAGCAAATGCAACGTTTCCGGTGCCGCTGTTGTCGACGGGAATGGGCGCGTAATCGGCGACATCACCAGTGCCGATCTCAGATCGCTGACGCGCGAGCACTTTAGCGTCGTGGGATTGCCCGTCGCTGAATTCATCGCCTTGATGCACGGCACATCTTACGCAGGATACGCCGTGGGCGACGAAACGCGCAAGTTCAAATCTGCATTTTTCGAAAAGTCTCGATCATTCAAGCGTGAGCGACTCGCGATTGACCCAAGAAGAGCCCATGAACTCGGAAAAGATGACGATCGCGCTGGCGTGTTCACCGTCACGCTTGACGACGAATTTCGATACGATTGGTTCTCGAAACTCAACAAGCAGCGCGTGTACGTCGTCGAAGAAACCGGTGAAATTCCTATCGATGTCATTACGCTCACCGACGTGCTCGAGTGTGCGACATTTGGTCGCGTGAAAGTGGGTGAACATAGACATCGATGAGATGAGTTTCTCAGTCGCGACGCCATTTTAGTGTGAGATGAGTTAACCATAACATAGCTAGAGCGTGAATCCCTCTCCTTGTTGCTTCTCTCCCGGAGCATCGGCTCTGAGACCGGCGAACAGCTCATCCCACGAGCTGCCACGTCTTTCTGATCCAGTCTTCTGTACGCCGTCGCCGTCGTTCGTCGCCTTCATCATGTTAGACAATCCAACCTCACCGAGAGGCTTCGCAGCATCCCAATTGTAGCACTCGAACGTCGCATTTGCGGCGTCCTCTCGTGAAATGGACTCGATGCAAATAGCGGCGACGTCTTCGCGGGAAATTCGCCCGGACATCTCGTCGCCTTGATTCAACTCGAGAGCGCTCACGCCGCGAGCCGGGTCCTCGGATAATCCGCCCGGGCGAACAACCGTGTAGAACTGGCCAGGGCGATCGAAGTAGAGCGCACGAACGGCATCTTCTCCCAAAATTTTGTTTCGCATAATGCCGCCGAATAAATTGAGAAAGATGTAGACGGGCGACGCCGGCTTGGAGACGGCGCCGCTACTGACGATAACGAAGCGTTCGACGCCAGCTCGCAGGCACGCTCGCGCGCACGTGATGACGCCATCGCGATCGACTTGGGAAGCGGTGCCACCACTTTGGGATTGGGAAGCCGCGAAAATCACCGCTTTCGCACCCGCGAATTCGTTCGCGAGCTCGGCGACTGACGCCGAGGCGACGTTCGCGGCTCGCGCCTTCACGCGGTCGTCCGCGGCGCCGCCTTCGTACGTCCCGGAGCGCGTGCACGCAACGATTTCCTTTGCATCAGTGCTCGAACGCAAGTACTCCACGCAGCGACGTCCGGTCTTCCCGTTCGCCCCGATGACGACCACCTTGTCGCTGGCGAGCGAAGCAGAAGGTTGCGCGAGCGGCGCGCGTGCGCGAGCGCGACGAACGCCTCGCAACGCCGACGCGCGCGACGACGACGTCATCGCACGGTCTCGAACGACGGCGCGGGCGGAGAGAGAACGCACGGTCGACGCGCTCATCGTGAACGAGAACGTGAAAGTCCGACGGATTACTCACAGTGACGTCACGGTCGAACGTACGCGCTGCGTCACACCGCGCGACGCGCACGTCGTGGGGCGCGTCGATTCGTCGGTGCTTCGACGGACAATCATGCATCGCGCGCGCGCGTCCCGCGCCGGCGTCCCTTCGACGTCCGCGTCGTCCTTCACGTCGGCGCCGAGGCGCCAACGCGCTTCTCGACTGCCCGAACGAAACGTTCGCTCATCCGTGTTGCAGACGGACGGTTTCGTCAGCCTGGCGTCGACGATGTCGCGCGACGACACGACGTCGACCGATGAGGGCGTGACACTCATGGATTACGTGCGAGGCGACGGACCGCCGAGATTTTTTAGTCCGCTCGTTCGTTCTCGCGAACGGGCGTCGACGTCGGCGTCGACGAAACCGCTCGCCGTGTACCTCCCCGGGTTGGACGGAACCGGCTTTAGCGCGGCGTCTCAATTCGAGTACATCGTCAATGAATTCGATTTAGTCGCGCTGAACGTGCCAGCCAGCGATCGCGGCGATATTTTCGACTTGGTGAACGTCGTGACATCGTACCTCGAGGCGCGAGCCGAGCGCAGCGACGTGTATCTCATCGGCGAGTCTATGGGTGGTTTATTATCTCTCTGCGTGGCGAGTGCGCGACCCGATCTTGTTACGCGGTTGATTCTGGTCAATCCCGCGAGCTCGTTCGACAAGAGCGCGTGGCCCGTGCTCGGACCGGTGTTGCCGTCGATTCCCAGCGAGCTGTGGGGCGCGCTTCCGTACGCGCTTACACCGGTTCTGATGGATCCAATTCGAATGGCGCGCGGTATTTTCGACAAGGTGACAGATAAAGTTGTTCGCACGAACGACGCCATCGGCACGATGACTGAGGCTGTCGACGAGCTCATCGGAATGCTTCCCGCGCTCGGCGCCTTGGCAGAAATCATCCCGCGCGATACGCTCGCGCACAGGTTGGACATGGTGCTTCGACTCGGTTGCGAGCACTTGAACGGCGATGACTACGCACGTTTGAGCGCTATTACCGTGCCAACACTCGTCGTGGCGAGTGAAAACGACAATTTAATTCCGTCTCTAGATGAGAGCGAGCGACTGCGCAAGTGGCTCCCGAAAGCAAAGGTTGAGGTACTCAAAGGAGCTTCGCACGCCGCCTTGCAGGAACCCGGGGTCAATTTGATGTTGATTGCGAAACGAAACGGGTTCCTCCCGAAGCACTCAGACGCACCATTGATGACGCGCGATGATGAGTTCGATCCACCGTCTCCGGCTGACATCCAACGCGCTCGGGAAAGTCTCGCTACTTTACGAGCAATAACGAGCCCAGTCTTCTTCAGCACGAGAAGCGATGGCAAAATCGTGCGCGGGTTGGGAGCCGTACCGATTCGTCAACGTGGCGGGAGACCTATTCTGCTTGTGGGGAATCATCAAACCTTGGCTCCTGACCTTGGATTCTTAGTGGACGAATTCTTGAATGAATACGACGTGTGCGTGCGCGGTCTCGCCCACCCAGTCGTCTCTCGCGAGGGTGGTTTGGCTGCTATGGGAGACGAGCCGCGGGCGTTCGAGGACATGTTTCGGGATGCGGTTAAAAACACACCGATCGAGTCTTTATTGCCTCGTCGCGAGCCAAAGCCACCGCGTCGGGCCGCGAACATCGTGGGTGGTGGCGGGAGCTTTGCAACGTTCGGCGCCGTGCCGGTGAGTGGTTTTAATTTCTTTCGCTTGATGAAGAAGGGCGAGGCTGTGCTTTTGTTTCCCGGAGGTGTTCGTGAAGCCTTCAAGCGTAAAAACGAAGAGTACAAATTGTTTTGGCCGTCAAAACCGGAGTTCGTTCGCATGGCCATCAAGCATAACGCATTGATTGTACCGTTCGCCGCAGTCGGCGCCGAAGATTCGATCGATATTGTTGCCGACGCGACTGACTTGCTGAATGCGCCGCTCGGGATTGGCGATTCCGTTCGAGAACGTTCCCAAAAAGTGCCGACGGCGCGCTCCGTGGACACGCGTGTGACCACGGACGCGGGCGAGGAGGAACTCTTCATCCAGCCCGTGGTCACGCCCAAGGCGCCGCAACGATTTTACTTTCGGTTCATGGCGCCCATCGACGCGAGCGAAATCGATTTGAACGACGATGTGGGTGTCAATGATATGTATCTTCGCGTACGACGCGAAGTCGAATGGGGTATCAAGTACCTTCGCGAAGAGCGTGAACACGACCCGTTCAAAGAACTCGCGCCGAGATTGTTGTACGAGGCCGCGACCTCTTCGCAAGCACCGACTTTCACACCTAACGCGAGATAAGACTTTTGTAACGTGTACGAAACTGTTGGCCAGCTTCTGGGGGATGGGATGAAGAATACGTGGTGGAGAAACATAATACTGTGTTCTGGCGTTGTACTGAATATGAATGCAATAGAAACAAAGGAAAGAGCTCATTCGAGATGACTGCATTCTCCTCAGACGTTGGTCGCTTTGGTCGCTTTGTTGCCACCATGAGCGGTGTCGTCTGGTTGCGTCGGCGTAGTGTTGCGTCTCGTCGAAGATCTTCGCTCGCGGCCTGATGAGTCTTTCGGGGAAGATCTTAAATGCTTCGCCTCGTTTGGACTCAAGGAAATGAATGGTGGTGAACACGATCAAAGAGAAGAGCGGGGCGACCAAAGAGTCAACGCCAGTGAAATCCTTGAATCTCTTTTGCTCGCACGTCGTCTTGGAAAGGGAAATGTCTCCAGAGCCACTCATCGTGTCGCACCGAGAGTCCAACGACCTTGACAATATTTGTAAGTCATCACTTTGCGAGATAGCCAAAGCAGCCCCCCTCGATCTCTCATGAAAAACACGAGAAGAGTTCTGGTCTCCATCAATACCCCTCGCCCATCCATTCAATTCGAGTGTCGGAAGTAAGCCCAATTCCCCTAGAATTACGGTCTAGATTGTCAGAGAGACCCATGAAGAGGACGCGTCTCCATCAATGCCTCTCGCCCATCCATGCAGTTCGGGTTTAGGGTTTAGGGTTTAGGGTTTAGGGTTTAGGGTTTAGGGTTTAGGGTTTAGGGTTTAGGGTTTAGGGTTTAGGGTTTAGGGTTTAGGGTTTAGGGTTTAGGGTTTAGGGTTTAGGGTTTAGG